TGTTTCCCTTTCTTCACAAGACACGGATCCATGGAGGCCCTTCCCTTATTTGCATTCTCAGCAAGAGCAAGTGGTCCCCCTTTTCCTCCTTTGGGAGATAGTGCGCCGGGGGGTCAACGAATGTCTTGTCGTTCAATAAAAAAGCAAGGGGTTTGCTGAACTTACCCGGCGGCGCCATCAACCTCAAAGCGTAGAAGCAGGTTAAACCCTGGTGTGTCGTTGTTCGACGAAAAGTGTGTTGCAATACTTGGTGTCCCCAACCTCGAAATGAAAGGCTTTTCTGTACAACCATGTGCCCGCTGTCTCCAAAGAAACGATGAACAAAAAAATTGGTGTGATCTGCGGACTGCCTTTTTCGCAAAGAATTTTTCCCAGGTTTCTTCTGTCGCGTTTTTCGACTCAGTCGACGGACAAAATCTGGTGCCATCTACGCCTCTACGCCCTGCCTTTTCAAATCGTGGCGTGTGTTTTGTCTGTCGTTCTTTGGAGAGAGCGTGATAGACAAATTTGCCTGGAGTTACGTGCCCTGAAAATCGCTGAAATTTCCAAGGGGGCCTTCCAAATGTAGTCCTGAACAACATCCGGGAGTCCGGGAGCCCTTTAGAGTTACTCAGTTTCGTTCGTGGGCCTGGGCTTGTCATACAAAACATATGAATGGTTTTTAAGTTTTTATAAACCTTGGAAACTTAAATGCGAGGGGCTTGGCAAATTTTTGTCCTGACAAGCCCTCTGGATGCAACGGCGGAGAGAGAGAGAGAGAGAGAGAGAGAAGGAACAGGGGCTGGCGCAGACGCCCGGGGCCTCGGCCCCAAGCCCCAAGAAAGAAAGAAAGAAAGAAAGAAAGAAAGAAAGAAAGAAAGAAAGAAAGAAAGAGAGAAAGAGAGAACGAAAGAAAGAAAGAGAGAGACAGAAACCGGAGGCATCCCGAAGGTCCCTTATTTTCATTGGTTAACATGCGTGAAAATGGCATAAGTTTGCAATGGCGCACGGCTTTCGCTCTTGAATCTTAAAGCAACTTGACTGCCCATGAAGCCTTAAGATCTTACAAATTGATGGGCTGCCAGAGTTGACTTTTAATGCTCAAATTTGAAGGAGTAAGTTTGTTAAGCAAACTAAAATAGGCCCTTCGAATCTGTTCACCTGTTTCAAGATGAAATGGGCCTCGGATTTAAAGAGTATGGCTCCTTAGCATCTTTAAACATGAAAAGGGGCTGTCAGAGACAGTTCTTTTTGACAGAATTAACATTGATTCGTTCAACAGTTCAACATGACTCCAACGATCGTTAATTGAAACTGCTCATATGCCAAAGCGAGAAAAAAAAGCTTTAAGACATGAATCTGGAATTCTGTCATCTGTTAATAGTACACCCCATAGGTCCTGCGTGCATATGTCGAAGCTTGCGCACTGCCGGAGTAAACATGATCAATGATGTGATGTGCAAGTGTTGAGATGCCAGCTGTGTTTCGCAGTCTTTCAAACCGAGATTTCTGCGGTGCTCTGGTTTGGGGCGGCACGGATCATCCAGCATCTCAAGTCAGGCTTGGCTCCGCTGCCCAGATATACTTCGCACACTGTGCTTCTTGTTGTGGAGCACATGTCCTAGCTGCACCCAAGACTTTGTTCTTGTACCAATTGCCGACGTGCCAGGCAGCTACAGGCACGGAATGCTGGCAGACAAGCGCTTCGGATGCTTGCACCAGAGCCTTTGCTCAAGGATTGATACTGCGTTGCTTCTTCCATAGGCCGCATTTTCTGGAAGCAACGCGTGCAAAGAGACTTCTAAGCACTTTCCAAACCACGAATCGCTTGAACTTGAACCATATTTGGCTTTCCAAATGGCAGCATGAGTCAAACGATGACCAATGCAAGCGTTGCTGAGTTCCAGTCTGCCGATGTACCTGTGCCTGATCCTTCAAATATGCCTGCTCTACATTTGCTTCGAGCTGACTGCGCCACTGGCTCCTCAGATTGCCTTCAGTTTGTGTTTTTGAGCGTGTGTCCTTAGCATCTCATGAACGCATGCTCGGCTTGGTGTGTCCAGGCTCATGAGAGTCACTGGATGCACGACTATTGGCGATCAGTCGCCACATGCTTAGCCTGAAAATTTGTATGCTGAAATGCGTGTTGCCGGGTGTTCTATCGAATCTGACCATGCTAAGTCGCATACCACAGCGTGCTTCATCATCATGCCCCTCTTTGGATGGCTGGTGTGGGGCTCCTTGCACGCATTCGGACGATTTCACAGTCGGGGCAACGCTGTGCCAACAGGCCTTTTCGACATATCTCAGGAAACTTGCTGGCGCGCCTTGCGTTGACGCTGTCTTGCGGCTTCATGATCTCTGAAGAGCAGCCTGGCGCCAATAGATTCCAACAGGAATGCTCTACACCCCTTTGACATCTGGTGATGTGGGGTAATCTGCCGGAGATGGATGTGCGTGTCGCTTGTCAACATGTCAGCCCTGGATGGTTTAATGCCTGAAGCCAAGGAATATTTTACGCATCTTGGCTTGGGTTATGCAGCTGCTCAATGACAAACCCCTTGCCGAGTCCTAAACCACAAAACTTACAAACTCAATTTATGGTTGCTGGCCATGTTGTAGAGGGTGAGGTAGCACTTTGCTGTAAGCGACTACGCCGCATGCGACCACCTCAGGCATACAAGTCATGGTCGAGATTCACATGGAAGGCAGGCTGAAGGAAACCTTCTCATCTTGCACCTGATTCCCCGAATACCGCCTGCGTCTAAACCTTGATGGTTTACAAGATTTTGCTGTCACAGCTGCTGAAGGTGAAGCAAAGAAAAAGAAACCTGTTTCACATCGAGATGTCCAGACAGACGTGAGCCAGGCGCAGATGCAAGGGATCTGAATCAGGTACAGTCAAGACTCAAGACAGGTCGAAGCAAGCAGGGGAGGGAAGGGGAAACGAATGAAAGAAACGAAGAGGATGAACGTTTTTTTAAGCCGCACAAACTTTCATTTGCAGAGGGCCGGACAGAAAGAACACGTGATAGAAACACCCAAGCGCAAAGCTTCAAACAGAGCGACCTGATCAGCAAGAAAGAAAGAGGGTACGAAAGAGCCGAAGCAAACGACGCGACACATATCTCCTGGACCATTTTTATTGCCATGACTCTGGCTGCGATTCTTGCTGTTACTGTTCTTGTTGCTCTTGCCATTGCTGCTACGCTTGCTACCCTTCCGTTACTATTATCTTGTCATCATTTTCATTAATGTGGTCTCCTGATTAGTGTGGGGCCCCCCCCCCCCCCCCCCCCCCCCCAAACTAAATCCACCCCCGCAGTAGTGTCACAAAAAAAGGGACCCCCCCCAAACTAATTTTCGGCCCCGGGCCCCCCCCCCCCCGCCGGCTCCTCTTCATTTCCTCTTCGCTCCTCTTCCCTCTCCTCTTCCCTCTCCTCTTCCTCTCCTCTTCCTCTCCCTCTCCTCTTAGGTAATTAAGCTCACTCTTCCGAAACCCATGCCCGAAAAAACTTTTCATTATTGTAGGGGGGCAACCAAATTTTTGTCCCCTGAATTGTTTTTTGAAAACTTTTCATTATTGGAGGGGTCCACACTAATCAGGATACGACATTATTCCTCATGGGCCATTAGTGTTACGATGGCCAGTACCACTACCAAGGCCATGCCATTGACATTGTTATTCCTGCTGCTATTGTATTGCAGGCTTATAACTTCTACTATTGTTTTGCTACTGCTACTGCTACTTCTACTACTGCTACTTCTACTACTGCTACTTCTACTACTGCGACGACGACTGCTGCCCTCTGAACTCGAGGACAGATTCTCTATCAAAGCCCCCAGAATCGAGGATGGTTCACTGTGAAAAGAGAAACGAATCATACGACAGCCTTGGAATTTCATTTGTATAGAGGGCTAGCAATCGCATGAGCATGGAGCACAACAGCTTCAATCTGGAAGATGGCCCAGATCGCACGCATGCGCGAATTTGCTGCGATCCTTAGTTGCCCTGCCCCCCCCCCGTTCATCTGGGGTGACGACATTCTAGCGGCAGAGAGCACACCAAAGTCACAGAAGTCTGCTGCGCCGCGACAGGCTCATGAGCTGCTGAGTGTGGCGGGGCCGGTGGCGTCGCTATGAGCAGTTCGAAAAAGCAATCACTCAATGAGACTCAATGCATCCTTGTAAGCTCTTGCGACGCTGACGGTGTGGCGATGTTCCTGTAGCGTCCATGAAGATATTGTGACATGACATCTTCAGAGCCTCAGAGCTAAAGGTGGTCCCGTGTGGCCCCCCAGGAACCGGCGCGGAAATAATTCAGTGACCAAGGTGTTCCGTAAAGCAGGCACCTGGTACGTTTTGCACAGATCATGCCGAGATGCGCGGTACGAGCGCGGCATGGATAGCCTGATGTGCCGAGTCTTTTGTTACAAAGAGAACGAAGCGAGAGTGTCATGATGTGACAAGTGGAAGCGATTTAAAACTTAAGCACTCAAAGCCTTTGTGCGGGACACTGCCTAGTCGGCCTGTCTCTGTTTGTCAATGTTTCAATTTTGGCGGTTTGCATGATGAGAAAGAGATTCGTGCAAAGGCACGCGGGAGGTACCCGATGGCCCAAAGGGCCAGGAAGATAGCTGGCCGAGTTTGCACATTCTGAAGCGCAGCTACGCACATGACGATTAGCACTTTAGCTCTTCAGGCCATCCTCAGCTGAGCTGTCAAGGCCTGTCGAAGTTCTATTCTATGGGAACTGGTAGTTTTACAACTGGCTGACTGTCATGTAAGGAGTGTCTGAATCTGGTAATCCCTTTCCATTCTTGCGCGCTTTTCTACGAAGGTCCAAGCCAGAGCTACGAACAGTCAGCCTACGCACAGTCCAGCCATGATAACTTCAGGCTGTTCTACGCGGAGCCGACCCATAAAAGCTCTGAGCTGCTGCAGGTTGAAGTTGTGGAAGCTGCCGCAGAACAACAGCTTTCCCAGTGGCAGACTGTTTCTTTGCCCTGCTCGTCTGCCAGGCCTTGAATTTGCCTGAACCTTGGAACACGCGGCACGGCATTTCTTCAGTGAGATCTGAGGCACATGTCAGATAACATGTGCAAAAGCCAACAGCAGCCAACAGGCCTGATGGCATCAGGAAACTACGCCTGGACTTGGCGCGATGCGCGGGCAGCCCGGACAAGAGCACTGAAGCATTTGCAGAGCGTCAGCAGAGCATCAGCCGAGCTTCTGCATATTCTCTGCAGAACATCTGCAGAGCATCTGGTATCCGCCCGCATTCCATCTGTTCGCTGAGGAAGTGGGTGCTGAGGGTCTCAGAGGCGAGCTCAGTCGTTCTTGCTTACTACTTGGATGCGCTGCAAGTGCGGAGGCCTGCGCTTGCCTCCGCGCCTGACGGCCCTGATCCTGGCACGGGTCTCAGGTCCGTTTCAAGCACCTGACATCCGAAGAAACACGGAAGATCACGCGTCGCCACCTTCAAAACGCGACCCAGCAGTCGGACCTGCTGGTTCGCAACATCATGCAACTTCTGCAGCTGCAACGTTTGACTTTTTTCGGCTCTAATGCTTGGGCACGAGTAAAGAAAGGAGTACAGCTACCCGCAAAGGCTGGTGCCTGGAGTGTCCATGCCCCCATGGCCACAGAATTTCGTGCTGTGAAGTTGGGAGTAGGGGCACTCTGCGGGTTCCACCCTTCGGAGTGCAGCACGTTGTAAGACCAATAGTAAGACCCCACCAAGAACCTCATCAAGAGTTTCGGCTTCATGAGCCGAGGATCTGACGATGTGTTCTGTTGGGCCAGAACAGCTCAAGGCCTGGGGCGACGATGATTGGAGTGCTTGTGACCGGTTGTGTTTCGTGCCGATGGCATTCGAGAGGCCTTCATAGCGACGTTGCCAAAGACCTTGGAGGCAGGTTGGAAGGTGGTGAATTCCAACTCTTTATCTTGTGGCTGTTCTTTGATCTTTGTGGGCAGGTTCTGGAGATGAACTTGACCGGTTGCAAGGACTTGCTTTTGCACGATCTGCACGCGCTGCACGTTATACGACCACACCAATTTTCACAAGCGTCTATGAACATAGAGATGCGAAGACCTTTTGGATAGTATTGTAGCGCTGTGTAGCCGTTTTGCCGAAGGTGAAAGCGGCCGCCATTGGCATGCTGCAGCAGGCCATGCGCACAACACGGAGTTGCGCGGGCGCACAATGGTGGGGTGCTTCTCGTGCTCTCAGGCTGCGAAGCTTCGATTGCCGTTGCTTCCCAGCAATGTCCCCAAGTCAGGCTCTGCACTCTACTCTCCCTCTCTCTCTGTATCTCTAAGCTCGCTTTCTTTCCTTTCTGCTCCGCTGCCTGCTGCATGCCCAGCTTTAATGTTACAGGGGTGCCTGGCCACCTCCTTCTTCGAAGCACTAAATTCTGTAGGTCAAGGGACTTGACTGCTACTGCTTTGCGATGCGCCTCTGGACAAGCACCTCCAGATTGAAGCTGCCCATGCCATGTTTGCATCTCAAGTCACAGCGAGATATTTGTGGAACACATTTCTCCGGACCGCATCGGCAGTCGGAACGCTTACAAGTGACAGAGCTGGCAGACTTGACTTTGCCTGGTTGTAGGAAAAAACATGTCGAGCTGCAAGGTCCAACCTTGGTGATCTAACGCCCCAGACACTGTGGCAAGATGCCGAAGGCCGAGGCATGAGACTATCATGAGACTTTGTTTCTGTGATGCTGACGTGCATTAGCTTGTGCTGCGGGCATGAAGAGCAGGTCTGGAGTACGCTTTCAACTTGCCGGGCCAAAATGGACAGCTTGCCAGCAGTTCTATGTTGGGGTCACCGATCATCACTTGGTGATGTTCAGTTTTCGCTTGTCTCACTGTGTTGTTGCAGTGTAGGTGGACATGTTGCTGGCAGAAACAAATAAAGAGTTGGTAGGGCACTCAATAATTTGAGTTTCGTGAACCAGAAACTTTGAAGGTCTGTTGGCTTTACTTAACTTGCCTGGCAGCGCAAAGATCAGCAAAGCTTAGACGCGCCTGTAAATTCCAAGGGTTTGTCGCATGGCGCAGCTTTGATGGCAGAGCAGTGTGGCCGGCAAGGAGGAGTGCCTGACCTTGCATGCGCAATCGGTAGAAATCACTTCACTACAGCATGGAATGACATTGGACATGTTGACAACTTTGCTACTTGCCGCCACTTGCCAAGCTGCGACAAGATTCGGCCAGAATGTGCAAGATGGCGCAAGATCGGGCAACACTCAACATTGTGCAACGAGCGCAACGACATGCGTTTTCATTGGGCAGGGCGAGTGCAGCAAGCGGACGATGTCGCCGATGCGTGCCTTGGGCCGATCCATGGTTCTGTTCCAGCCTTCAGAGCATGACGATGTATACCTGACCTCTCCAAACCAGGCCGCATCGTTCACAAACGAAGTGCCGTTGCCATGCTTTGAGGCTTTTTCTGCCGCCATGCGTGCTCAAGGCGAGGCGGAGATGATTTTGATCATCTGGTTCGCATCACTGCAAAGGTCACATGTAGCAGTGCGCAAGCCACCCCAGGTCCGCAAGAAGCAGCCAGGGCATTGGGCACGCGCAACTTCCGGTCAGGCCCTCAAAGCTTTCCCAAGACTACCTTGTAGCTTAACTTGCCCCGATGTCTTGGACATGCTGCATGTTGCACATCCGTGGCATGGGCTATGAGGCTTCAAAAGCTCCCAGTAGGACGTAGCAGAACATGTAGTCCTGTTCTCCCATGCGACGTCGCACACGATCACGTGCCTTACTCTTGGGCAGCATCCCTTTGGTTTTCTGCAAGCTGGACAGATTGGGACCGCTTTTCGTGTCCGGATGGTCCAGGCTGTCGCAAGGTCGAGAGAGGGCAACAGAAACTCCAGCACAAGCTACCAAGCAGCTCTGGGATATCGCTTGGGATTCTCTGGTCCCTGCTGGACCCGATGGGAGTCCCATCACCAACCAGGAGCTGCTCCGATTGTTCAAGGAGAGCGTAGATGAGAGTTATTTCGACGATGACGGACTCAAGCAACTTCCCAGGGTAGACAAGATCCCGCTCGAGAAGGGCTTCTTCGAGCGGATGAATGAAACTTTCTGGCGCTACGGTCCCCTGGTTGTCGCGCCGTTGGGCCCGCTCAGGACGGTCAGCGTGTCAGACCCTGGCATCGTGAAGTGCCTTCGTCGCACCTCCACAGACAGTAGCAGTAGGGTCACTTCTCGTACCAAGCAAAACATTTGGGAGGCTTCCTCGCTCTGACTGTGATGCATAATGCTGCTCATATGCAGCCTGCACTTGAGTGCGGCTCAGGTACATTCTTTCGCAGCGCGCACTTTTTGGCAAGGGATTTCTGTCAGCAGTTGGACAAGACATTTTTGGCAAGGCGCTGATCACGGCATCAGCGTCCCTGCCGCAAATCAGATCATCTCTGCATTCTACAGATCAGTTTTGTCTGTCTCGCCATGCGGATTTAGCAAGGACCGCGAGCTTTGGCAATCGAGACGCTCTGCAACAAGTGCTGGATCTTTGGCTTGTGTGGAGAGTCGCGCAAGTCTGCGTCCACGTATGTTTGTAGATGTGGCAGGCAAGTTAGGCAAGTGCCACCCAAGGCTTCCATGCACAATGGTTGCGGAGCCTCTCTGAGGATTTTGTCCTTTGCACTGCCGGCTCCTTATCATTCCAGAACCAGAGAGAGAGTGTGTGTGTGTGTGTGACAAAAGAGATCGAGTCGGGGGAGGAAGACATGGAACAACTGCACGCCGACATGGCAAGTAGAGGAACACCGCTCTCAGCACCCTTATTGGACCATGTGGGCACCGGGTGCGCAACTACGAGGGGGCGATGTGCCATACTGTGAGTCAGACACAAGCCCCAGAAGGCGGCTGGTCCACTGCAGTCACCGCAGGGTTTTACTCTTTCATCCAAGGCTCAGGCTGCTCGGATCCTCGACGATCGAGCCCGCTATGGGGAGGCCTGTCATGCTGCGCATGGTACAAGCTTCCGTGCCCCAGAAAGCGAGTGCGCACACATCTTGCACCAGAAGAAGCCGAGCCTTGTAGGTAGTGGATATGGAAAGTTTCTTTCTCAACCTGGCGCTCGATACTGTGGGGCGCACAATTTTCGGCTACGATTTTCAGGCGAGCGAGCAGCCTTCTGACAGCCCGCAGTCGCCAATTGTCAAGGCTGTGTACAGAGTCCTGAAGGAGCACCTGGGCTGCTCTAGAATCAAGTGCTTCTCCAATCTTTCCGACATACTCCACATGTAGCCCGTGTACCCGCAAGTGCCCGCGCGCACACTATCTCTCTCTCCCTCCCTCCGTCCCTCCCTCCCTCGCTTCGCTTCGAAGGACGGAGTACAGGCAAGCCAACCTTGGAAATCTGCTTCTCATGGGAGCTCCTGACGCCTTGGTTGACGTGGCAGCTCCAAATGTGGCAGAGTTCAGGTGCCTCGCGAGCGAAGTGGCATGGCATCCTTTCATTCCATACCGTTGCGTCTTTCTTTGCCAAGACACAGGCAGAGCCTCCGGAGCATTGATGCTGTGCTCGACAAAGTCATCGGTGCAGCTTTAGATGAGCAAAGCCTCACAGATGAAGAGGACACTCTAAGCAGAAGTGCGTCAGTGCATTCTCGTCGATGCATTGCGTCAGACTGCCATTAACAAGCTAGATGTTCCCTTTGTACACACCTCTGATGCCTGTACAGCAGTCTACGCGGATTCGATCTGCTTGCATAGATCCTTGCTACATGTGCAATCTTCAGATCCATCGGTTTGTGTTCTTTTGCCGCCGTGGCACAGGACCTCCGGCGCCGATCAGGTGGCACACTACTTCAATTCATTGTGGACCTTCGTGGAAAGCAGGTCACCAGGGAGCAGCTGCAGGAGAAATCCTGGAAAGTTGAGTTGGCGCGCACACACACACACACACACACACACACACACTTCAAGGAGTCTTCAACGGTAGAGACGGCAGCTGTGTGACCTACAGCCTTAGCGCCACTTCAAGGATGATCTGCGCACCTTGCTGATTGCGGGCCATGCGCCTGGGCCTTCCTGGCAATAGCACCCGGCAAGATTGGGGCAAGATTGGGGAGGTTGGCGAAGCTTTGAAATTTGGCATCCCGATGCTTGTTTGCGACACCTGTACTGGGCTTTCACAGCCCGCTTTTGCAAGGAAACCGTGGCCAGTACACTGACGTGGGCCATCTATGAACTGGCCAAAAACCCCGAGGCCATGGCAAAGGCCAAGCAAGAGGTGGGAGGATGGGAAGGCTATGGATACTACACGGTTGGGTGGAGTGCTTTAGGGGCCGAATCCCTGTGACATGTTCCACAAAATGGCTTCTGGTGAGGTTTAAATCCTCAACACCTTAACCCTCAAGTAGCGTTTTGGCTTGGCGACCCTCGCAAGATGTGGTTATCAGGCAAGATAGGGTCATAACATAGGGATAACCTCATCAGAAACCTGTGGAAAGCGTCACAGGGACGGGATTCGGCTCCTGAAAAACCAGCAGTTCAGCGAAAGGGATCATCCCCGCCCCGCCCACACCCAACTTCACCCAACCCAAACAAGGAAACCAAAACCCGAACCCCGAATAGTTGGAAGTGAGCACCCGTGTGGGGCGTGCTGTAAAAGACTCGTCCGGCACGGTGCGTCTTGCCGTTGTGAATGAGAAAGTGGTGCAGGTGCGCAGAGTGTTGGGCGGTCGTTCCGAACCCACCTACCAGGACGAAGCTTGCCTGCAAAGGTCCTAGCAGGTCGTCGCGTCACACTACACGTCGTCATGCTGGACTCGGCAACCGCCCACTCACGCCGACGGGGAAGCAGGAACACACAGCAGCAAGACAGACCTGCCCGCGTTACATGCCGCATTCCTAGCAGGCGCAAGTCGCCAAAGCTAGCAATTGCCTGCTTACCATTGCTAATGCAGCTAGAGGCTACATGAAGTTCATCTTCTGTCTCTCGGCTTTCGGCCAACGTCACCTGCTAAATCACTGCACGCCCCCTCCTGATAGCTCGAGACCGTACATTGCTGGTAGACTGGTATGCATGTCGCTTCAACCTGATCACCTGTCACGCTTGTAAGAGTGCATCAGCTGAAGATGTCATGGTCAGCGTGTCTGAGATTGTAAGGTCAAAGACCTGAAGTACATCAGGCTTGTCCTGACAGAGGTGAGGACAGATGCTGAGCAAAGTCCTGACTTGTCACTTGCCCCTGCTTCGCAGACCTTGCGGCTGTTTCCAGCACCGCCAGTGCTGGCTCGGAGCCCCCTTCAGTCCATCACGTTGCCTACTAATGGCAGCAATGTCACATTGACACTCGGATTGAAGGCTCAGCATCATGAGTTTTGTGGGACAGCTGAATAATGTATGCGTTGACCGCCCCGCCTGAGGTGCGTCAGAGGGCCCATTGGCATGGGGCGGGTGGGGGGGGGGGGGAGCGGGGTCCGGAGTCCCTAGGGGTGGCTCGGTGGCTCGCACGTTCGTTAGTTGAATTCGGTGTCGATCCGGTAGTTCTCATGCCATAAGGTATTTGGGAAACCCTCCTGCCTCAGAGGTCCATACCGGCACGCAGTGCTTGTCTGGCCAGTTCTGGCGGCACATGAAACGTTTCGTGCCTTACAATGTGAGCAGTATGTATACCATGTATACTCATACATGTATAGGCACAATGCGCACAAGCGCCTTTTGCGGACAGTGTCCCGGCTCGTAAAAGATGCCAACCAGCGTGCCTGAGAAAAAAAACGCATTCGTTCTCCTCCTGATGCTATTCGCACCATGCCTGCTAGGATATTCCTCGCTCTGTGGGCACACCCCCCTGTAGACACGCGTATTCTTACACCTCTTGCATGCTGTCGCGGAGTATGCAACACATATGGTGTTTAAGCAGCAACAACACAGTAGGACCTGTACAAAGCCCTTGCGGCGCAATCACCGGCGCAACCTTCTGGGATGTACGGTTGGAGCATTTGGTAGGCTATGGTCTTAACCTTTAGAGTGCTGTGTTTGGGCTCAGAATGGGTTTCGGGCCGCCGTCTAAGAGCCGCGAATCCTGCGCGAAGGCTACAGATGCGCGCGAATTCGCGAATTCGTCGCGCCAGTGCACAAATCCTTTGTGCTGCATCTTGCCGGACCAGTGCGCGAGTCGGGTGGTTCGCGGATTCCCGCATTAAGCCGCGAATCCTCTGTGTGCGAATCGGTTCCTACCCAGAACTTGAAGATGTGATTGATGCGCCCTCTTGCCGAGGAACCGGGGGACGTTATTGCTTCTTCAGCTTACCCAACTCCATCGGCACCCGGGCATCTACGCACGCCCAAACGAGCTTCTTGCATGAAGCCCTGTTTTTGTGCCTGAAGAGGACATCCCTGGAAACCCAGACAGAGTAAGGTTCTGGCCCGAGCGATGGGAGAAAGCCTTCAACAGCACAGGAACTTACCCGGTGGAAGGTGCCACGTGTCCCACTTCTCGGAAGATGTTGCTTCCCAGCTCCCGATTTCTTCGGCTTGCCGCCTTAGTCCCAGCACATCACAACACTTGTGCAACTGATGTACAGGATGGCGCGGCTATGATCCAGCAAGGGCTACCGGCCTGTACCCCACAGCTCTTGCCACTGACTATGCCTTCGTGGGATTTGGAGGCGGCCAGCTTCTCAGTGGCCTCTGATGCTGACATCCACAGGGGGCATGGGCAGTCATTCTCTTGTGGTTGCCCCGCTGACGAGCGATACGTGGAGCCATCAACCAAGGTGAGTTCCAGTGTGTGGGGGATCAGTTTGCCATGATTGAAGGCACGATCATTCTGGCGATGCTTCTTCAGAGGCGTGTTGCTGCCCTTTTTCCCACCAAGTCACTTCCATGGCTAGAAGGTCTCGCGCCACATCCACCACGGCAGGTACAACTTCAAGTTGGTCTACGATGATTTGGATACCATTGGCTTGGACATGGCTGCTACAATCCACACCAGGCGAGGCGGTAGAGAAGCCCAAACGTATAGGCTACCTGCAGGCCTATGCATAGAGCCTACGGTAGCCTACCGCAACCCCATCCGTACGGGCCTACGGGTAGGCTTGTGGGTAGGCTACCCGTGGGCCTACATATTGGCCTGACTGTGGCACCAGGCCTACAGGCAGGCCTGTGGGTAGGCTACCCGCAGGCCTCTGGTAGGCCTGCCGGTAGGCTACCCTTGGCCCTCGGTGGGCCTATATGTAGGCTACCCATAGGCCTACGGTAGGCCTACCCATAGGTCGGACGAAGCCTTATTTTTGGGCTTCTATGTGCCTTCTTCTTGCTTGCTTGGTATTATAGTATTGTTATAGACAGAACACGGATGGTGTTGTACGCCATTTGTTTGCTGCAAGTGGTTCTGAATCCAAGTGCTGAAGAGCCCGGCGCCAGGCGAGGCTTGCTCATGAGAGTTTCTGCAGCTGTGAATTGAGATGTCCTGTGGCCCAGCTGGGATCCTGAACGCCGCGTCTTGTTTCGTGCCCTGGTCCCGAAAAGTAGCGGATTTCCCCTTAAATTGGGGCACCTAAAGTGGCACATCAGCACGAAGAGAAGGAATGATTCAGAATTCAGAGCCGATTGTCGTTTGTTGTTGGCAGCCCGCACCGACATGCAGCTGCTGCAGCTGTTCCACGGACCGTCAGAAAAAGTAAGATTGCTCCAGCTAAGAGGTCCACTTCACGGACCCATTGCACCTAAGACGGATTCTGGCTTAGGTTGGCGTCCCAGTGTTGAGCCCTCGCAGGCGTTGGGTTGCTTCAACTGGTACAGACATGACGAAACAAGCGTCGGCGACGAAAATTGGACACGCAGGCCATTCCCATTCGCGGACTGACGAGTGCAGCCGAGGACCATCGAAGCCACAGGTGTTATTTTCATTTCAGGGCTCACGTTCCAAAAGCTGGTGCTGCATGGAGACGCATTTGTGCCGCTTGGGGGCTTGGGTTGTATGTCGGTGCGAGTAATTCCCCCCGGTACAAACCAAACCAGGAGAACTTGTTTGTGCAAGATGTACGCGCTAAGCGAGCCTTGGCCACAAATAGGGCCGAAACGGCTTTCAGGGTGCCTTCAGTCGAGCGTGTACATTCCGTGAACTGCTTGTATCTGCCAGGCGAACAGCGTCGCTCCCGCCGTCCTATCCTTGGCACATTACGCCTTGGGATGCTGTGCAGATTCCAGGAAGTATGGATTCTATGACTGCGATGAGGCTACGCGAAAGCACTTGACAATGGCGTGGGAGACGAGGGTTCGCCAATTGATTTGAAGAACATGCTCAGCCAATCCTGCATCGATTTGCGATCCTTGAGTTCCAGGTGACGATTTCTTTGGGGAGGCACGATGCCAGGATGTTGTGCCATCGGTTCGGCTGGGATCGCAGAAGCACGCGCTCCAATCGACACAAACAAACTTTAGACTCGAACGTCTCCAAACTTTCTAAATCTTGCTAGTTGCTAGACCAAAGCCGGTGCATCTGCTTGACAAGAGAGTTTCGAGCCCTGTCAAAGTATAAGTATATGCACTGCAACTGCCCCCGGGGAATGCCCCCGGGAAGGCCATCTGCCAAGCATTCCAGCCAACGACCCAAGGCCGGATCAACCCTGTGAGGCGTCTTAAGCGAGGGATCTGCAGCGATCACTCAGTGATCCTTGTGATCCCGACATGCACTCAGGAGAGACGCTTGCCATCAACCCACAGGATGAACCTTTGGAGCGCAGACCTTGTCGATGTCCTGAAAAGAGCATGTTTTTTGAATCCAAGCTGGTGAATTTTGCCAGCTCAGGCATGAAGTCCTCTCTCCAGAGGAAGCCAGGGCAAAGGAAGAGATTTGGGATGAGGCCGGAAGAAATCCAGAAATCACACCACAGCCTGCCACGTCGTGGCAGAATCTGGCGCAGGTCAACAAGGACATCCTCCAGTTCCTACATGAGAGAAAAAAGCAAAGCCCGCAGCTCGTGTTTATCACGATTCGCCATATGGGAGAAAAGCGTGTGCAGAGCTTAAGTGCAGCTTGACCTCTCTTAGGCCGCAAGCGAAAGCAGAAGGAGCGAACTTGTGAGAATGCCAGATCTGTTCTGCAGCTTGAGGGGGCCTCACATAAGGGGGCTTTGCTCCAGAGAGTGTTTGTTGTCGAGGAAGACCGATGTCAGGCTACGGAGAGGCCTTTGAAGGGCTCGTCTGTGGCGGGATTGCAGCTATTGCGGGGCAACGCCTTGTGCCTTGCTATGTCTTGTCACTTGACGATTCCCGGTCTCTTCGTGGTGAAGTTGGAGAGGTGGCAGCAAGAGCAGGAGCAGCGCAGCTCTCGGCTCATCCTCACTTCTCGGCTAGCAGCTAGCACTGCTGGACAAACCCCGCGTGTTGAGCAGGTTGGTCCTTCTTGACAAGGCACGCAAACTGCGAATGTGAGCGACCCAGTGTCTCAACAGAATGTGTTGAGAACAAAGCAGTCGCACAGTGCCTTGCTACACACATGCCGTAATTATTATCGTCATTGGATTGTCTGGCTGGTTCATGCTCCAGGCAGAAGAAGCAACGGAACATGATGTAATGGTAGCCTTGAAGAGTGCCTGTCGTGCTGTCGTGCGCACGCCCTCTGGACGGTGGGGCAGGAAGCCGATGCTTGGCGAAGCTTCATCCAAAAAATGTCAGGCCTCCCCCGAAACTTCCCTCCTCCCTCTCCTACATTTCCCTCCCCCCAATCCCAACAATTGGCAATCCCATCTGCCAACCAGCACAGCATCAAGTTTGAAGGTTCCACTCCGAGTCAGAAAGGCTTGGCAAGAAGGCTTATAGGGCCGACCATGTAGGGCCATTGCAACAAAACCTCCAAACCTACTCCAAACATTGCATTATTCCGGACGCCCCCCAGCAATCCGGTAGCAGAATCATGTTCCGTACTCTTTGCGATATTCCGGGGGCCTATGCTAAACTGTGCGCAACGTTGATGCGGCCCGGTTTGCGAGGTTCGGGCATGACACGCAAGGATGGGTTGGGAAGTCAAGCCACCCGCCTGCCCGCCTCGGTAACCCTCAAAGCCTGCCACTTGACAAGGGCACACGTTGAACACGGCTTCATGTCGCATGAAAAAGAATGCTGTGGGCTGCACCTACAGGACCTACAGTGCCATGCTGACTGCCATGCTCCCAGGCAACAAGCGGCGGCGAAGCAGCGGAGGCACGTCCCGTACAGTATATGGTATATGGCAGCCTGGTGTTTTCGGACAGTGTTTCTTGTTTCAAGCCATTGGGCTGTCGAGCCGAAGCACACTGTAGCACAATTGCGGAGCAGAACTGTTGAGCTCATGAATGATAGGTGAGCAGTGAGAAGAAGATGCATTTTCTGCATCCAGCCAGGCGTTCTCGGCCAAGCGCCAGTATTGGACTCAAATCCAATCAACGCATGTTCACCACGGAACTGTCAACGCGCGGGCCTGAAGATAAGGTGATGTTGAGGACTCCGCCCCGTCAACGGAGGACCAAAATCATCGGCTGGTGGCACGCACAGAGCATCCAAGCGAGAGTGGAAAGCCTGATGCAGGAGGACGAGGAAGAGAGCGGCAAGCAGGAAGAAGCCAACTTCTGGGCGGTGCTTATGACACGTTTGTCAAATTGTCGCAAACTGGAGGTTTACGCAAGTGAAAAGTGATAGAAATGATGGCACGTTCTTTCAAAGCAAATCCAGGCGCATGCGGCAGTGCCGTGGCAGCACAAAGCTTCTCGAAGAGGGTTCTTAGTGCCAACATCCCTGGTCATACAAGAAGCTCGGCCTGTCCTGCATGACTTTTACTCCCTTTCGGCAGATGCAGGTCTTGCAAGTATCTAAGGCCAAGGGAATCGGATCAGGCTGGAGCTGCCGCCGCTTCGATTTTCAACATGAACTTAATGTGCTGCAGCACCCATGTGAAAAGGTCAAGCTTCTGGTCAGATCCTCACAGCAAAGGAGAAAATCGAAGCAGAACGCAGGCCAGGATCTCCCTAGAATTTACATCCTGTGACATGTGACAGTAGTTGCCTGGTCCCCTAATCGCCGAGCTGGTCCCTTACAGTACCTTCCTTAAAGTGTTCTGACTTTTGGCAATTTTGTGACCTGAACATTTTTGGCCATGGGCCCAGTGCGGCTTACAGTTGGGTCTAGGATAGTTAGAGCTGTAGCATGCTGTAGCCAATGAGAACTGTCACGGAAGATGTGGGAGTTGTAAGAAACACGAAGAGCCAGTGAGGAACACCCAATTTGCAGGATGGGAGTGGAAAAGTAGTAGTAGAAACCGATGGCGGAAGTGAGCCGGCCTCTCCGCATGGTGCAAAATGGACGAAGAGTCAATCCAAATTGCGGTGCGAATTCGGCCTGTGAATCTGCCATCCCAGCAGGCTACAGCTGTAAGCTTCGTAGGCAGCACCGTCGCTGTGACTTCAGACCTCGGCACAGAGCAAACTGATGTGGACTGTATCTTGGTAGAAGCTTCTGACAAAGCAGAAGAGGCTTCCCAAGAAAGGGTTTTCCAGGCTCTGGGCAAGCCCATTGTCCAAGGGGCGCTGCAAGGCATCAGCCAAGGCGTGGTTTTCTACGGCGCAGCAGGTTCCGGAAAAACCTTCACACTGCTGGGGACAAGAGAGGAGCCTGGACTCTTGGTTCGCCTTGGGCAAGCCCTCCTGCAGCCAGATGGGCTTCCGGATCTGCAGCCTGTTGAGACTCGCGTGTGGCACCCTGCATGACAAGGTTTTATTCATATTCGTATAGTTGCCAAAGGTCGGTGAGAGCCCTGTAAGGTTCAATGTTGTCATAGCCTATTGCTCATTGCATCCCATTGCCCATTGCATGTCAGTGATGAGAGTAAGGTTCAGCTCATTGGAGATTTTCAGTGACCAAGTTCAAGACCTGTTGGCTTCACAATCTCTGTCAGAACGTCGAGATGCACCAGCCTTCATTCACCACCCTATCCTTGGGACCCAGGTGGTGGGCGCAACAGAGGTCCCCGTGGAGTCCTCTGACCTTGAGGAGCTGATTGAGTTTGCTTTGAAGCGGCGCGCGCTCGGTGGCACATGCCTGCATGCATCTTCAAACAGATCCAGCCAGGCGTACTGCCTCCGGGTAGAAACCCGGGGTGCGTCCGGGCAGGAATCCACTGCAAAAGTTTGCCTTTTCGACCTTGCTGCCCCAACACTGACATCGCATCGAGAATCCTGTCCATCGCTGGCAGCTTTGAAGACCACTGTCCAGGAGCTGCAGCAAGGCATTCGACACCGTCATTTTCTTTTCGATGCCTCTCAGCTCACACTTGCACTTCGGGATTCATTGGACGGACGGTGGCGGACCACGCTTGTGGCTACGTTGCTGGCAGGGAGCAAACATGCACTGGAATCCACAGGCACGATGCAATTTGCCCGCATGATGCAGCAATTGCGCACTCGCCCTGTGGCCTCAAAGATGCTATCGGACCAGGTGCAACTTTTAAAGGATGAGGTCATGGAGCTGAGGAAGGAGGCAGAGTTCGGTCTGGGTGCTCAGCTGAAAGCTGTGCTGGATGATCGAACTAGTCTCATCGCAGAGCTCATGAAGCACTCGGCATCTCAATCAGAGGAACGTCGCAAACTTGCGAGGCAGCGTGCCAAGGCGTTGGAATGGTGCGGATTGCTTCCTGGAAGCTCTGAACCTCTGCGACGGAAGGACAAGACAACACCACATCTGTTGAACATGTCCGACGACCCCAGCCTAGCAGGCTGTTTGCTATACTTTCTTCCGCGCGGGGAGAGGACTTCTGTAGGAAGCGATCTGGATAGCACCATTGTGTTTGACGGCTTGGGTATACTGCCCAATCTCTGCAGCATCACCAACAAGGACGACATGCATGTCAGCATGACTCGCCCCGACTTCGCGCGTCGGCATGTCCTCCACAATTGCAAGATGCTGAACACTTCTGAGAGCACCATGCTTTCTCACAATGACACGATTTGCCTGGGCAGAGCTCAACTGCTTCTGCTGAAGATTCCTCTGCAGAGCAGAGAGGGCGAGGAAGACCAGAGTATACTGAGACCACTGCAAGAAGAATGCAAGCTTCCAGAGGAGTTGTCGCAGTTTCTCCCAACCCTGCAGTTGCAAGGTGACATAACTTTTGACAAAGTACTTTCTGCTTTTGAGCACTCCGACTCCTTGAAGTACGTGCAGTGCTACGTGAAGGACTTGCTTCCCAAGCTGGCACCTTCAAATGCCCTGGCTTGCTTCACAACCTTACGTGAAGCATGCTATTTGCTGGACGAGGCAAACCTAATCACCCGAGAGGTCAGGCCTCAGGACCACATGCATTTTCAAGTAGAGTTGATTTGGGACATCGAGCGACATCCGGAGGAGGTTCTTCTGATCGGTCTGTTGAACTATGGCAACGGCACGGATGCTCCAGCCAAAGGAGCTGCAGACTGTCAGGTCCTCCACTACTGGTCTTACGGCCGCTTCTTGGAGAAGCTGGATCACATGCGAGATGTCCACCGCATGCATTGCCAAGGACTTCAGGGTTGGACTGGGCGCGGCGACCCTTTGCAGGACCCTTGGCTGGAGAAGCTTGCCCTGGAATTTGGCCTTACCCGTTTGCATCATTTGACTGTGCTTGTGGAAGTTGTTCACTTGGTATATGTGTATTTCGAAAGGCCCCAGTCACCAAGGCCCAGCACAGCTGTGCTTCGGCAGCACCTGCTAACCAAGAGCTGGTCGTGCAAGCAGGCAGGGTGTTCTTGAAGAGCCCTGATAAATCCCGATATACTGTTTTAAGAACCTCAACAAGGGGTACCATGTCTATCCATTACTCGACTTACGGAAACTCAACGCAACAAACTAGATGCTGCTAGAGATGGTGTTGGGCAGATCGTTTCTGGGTTCGGGCCAGGAGCAGAGGCATGAAGTGCGGAAGGCGGTGCCAGAAACCGAGGAGCTGAAGGTCCTGAAGAGCCGAATCGCTGAGCTCGTCCAGGAGGTGGAAGACAAGAACGCTGAACTGGAAGAGAAGACTCAAATCGTGGGCCAACTCAAGGAGCAGATGGCCCAGATCATACCCCTCGTGGGCGGATTCGCCCCCGAAGCTGCCGAGAGGCTCATTCTGGAGCAGCCCGAGCCTGAGAGCCTTGCTTGCACTTTATAAGTTGCGCTCTCTGATCTTTGCTGCACCTTTTTGAAGTTTCACTTTAAACACCAACCGGCCGCACGAAACACATGATGACTTGTTCTGAAGATTGCAATATGAGCTCGTCATTTGCAATCGCGCACATTTTGCATTCCAGGGCACCTTGCAGCAAAGAGAAGCACGACTCGCAGCCCAGCGACACGGAGCATTCCTGCACCATGACAGTATCTGCGTCGTCGGAAGGGGGCGCTGGATTAGGTGACGTTCGTGACTCCGAGCGGTCCCGCGGCTTTCGTGTGGACAACTTTGGCACCTCAAAAGGTACTACCAGCGGTGCTGCCATGTTAAGCCAGTCCAGCTTAACCCCACCTCACTACTACCGGGACTTGCGCAGATGACGAATTAGAAGACCTACTTTTGTTGTTTCACAGGCGTTTGCTAGTATGTGAATAGGACGAATTCAGCAGTGCTGCCTGCCTGAAACAGAATGGCAACAGAATGCAACGGAGGTTCTAGCAGCGAGATGCGCATTTCTAGGTGATGTGCAAAAGCTGTGCTGCCTTTCCTGTTTTGCAGAGTTGCTTGCAATTGCATGTTGCGTTCCCTGCTCTGTAGGTTCGAGGTGTTGCATTGAATCGAGGCACCGCCGGGACCAAGCGAAGTTCGCGCACAGCATCAACCAGCTCTTCGGTCCCCTGGCCATGCATGTCTCAATGAGTCTCCAGTACTGGCCTCCAGACCTTAGTTGATCTAGATCTAACACGAGTGCAGTCACTTCAGGTGATTAGTGAGCATAGTGTCCGGCGACCCTGGGCCTGTCTCGATCCTGCAAAAAGCCCCGAGTTTCAAGAACAAGCCAGAAGTGCAAGCAGCGGAAGCACCCAAATGGCTTTGTTGAAGCACACGCAGCTTCAGGAATCTCGAAGTGACGCAGCTGTCTCTGAGGGCAGCCGCCACTCGTCTCAGCGCATGCCGCATTTTCTTGAAAAGTAGTTACATGCATTGCTGGTGGCAAATTACTTAGCCACTTGTTCGTTCCTTGTTCGCTGAATCTACTCGCAAATAGCCAGAAATACCCACACACCCACAGCCAAAGCTTGATCAGCACAGTAGGTTAAGAGGCAGAGAAAGACCATGCATATCCTGTAATTGCACGAACACTTTAAGACTGCTGTCTTGCCTTTGCTTCAGCGCATGTCGGCCTGGCTAAAGGGCCTGGCCAGCACAGCCGCAGCCTCAGGAAAGTCAAAAGCATGAAGGGTTAGGTCAGAATGTTCTGCGACGTGGGTGCGAATTCCCTCCCCATAAGTATGGCCCACACACCCCTCCTTCCCCCTGTGAGCATGGTGGTTTGTGAGGGCTATCGACTTCTACCTGGTGACACTTCGCCAGAGCCAAGATCTGCCAGGCAGCATGACTTCTGGCTGTCCATCCAGGAAGTCTTGGCTGAACTGGGTGCGAGGACAAAGGTCTCTGTCTTATGTGAACCTGTGAACAGGGTACTGGGAACCAAAAGCTGAAGATAGCTGAAGTCCCACTCCCGGACCTGAAGCCTGGATAAGACTAGCCACGGAAATTGCATCGGTGAGTCAATGCCGTTGAATCCTGGTGGGCTGCAAGTTTTGATGGGTTTCCATGTTGGGGGTGTTCATCCTTCATCCCGATTCTGCATCATCAAGAATCGGTCTAGATACAACACTCACGCCAGTAGCGGAGGTCGGCCAAAGTGCTACCCGCAGATGGCCCGAGTCAGAGGAGCCTGCACTTCAGTGCACATGCCGTGCTTGGCTGTGATGTGGTAGTTCTGGGCTGGTTCAGGATCCCCGGCGCAGGGGCCAAGAGCTAAGATCACCACCCTGGCGATCACAAGATGTGATGGTTGCGTGACACTGGGAGAGACAGCGCACCCCCGCGGTCAGGATATTGTGCAGTTCATGTCCCACATCTTCTACACTGAAGAGGGCAGCACCTGGGGCTGCATGCATCTGAATGCTGCGTCCTCTAAGTCTTATCTAGCACGTCCAAGCTGATGATGCTGGCACACTGTGGGATTTGGGCACGACTGCGTGGGTGAGTGAGACTCACATACACGCTAAGGGAAGCACCAGGTGAGTGTGAAGCTGATCCGTCTAGGCGCTGCATGAACCACTGCACCTCTGTTGCAGGCCATGACCCCATGATCAACGTACCCCCGTGTGTGCTCGGAGGATCATTGGCGGGCCATTGTTCGGTCTTCTGCCACACAGAGGAGACGGGCATTTGCGCATTTGCTGTTCACGCGCCAAATCACCCAGGCATTTTCATGGCTTCAGCGCATCTCGCTTCAGCATTGGCTCTCGCCCAGACAGATAGGTCAGGGTGAGCTGAGGTGGAGCATGCGAGTTCCATCTAGTGACAGCGCGCAGCCATGGGATCCTTCCTCCCCAGCGGCCATGTTGCATGTTCTGCAAGCTGCTGATGCATCTTGGTAACACTTGGCAACATCAACTATAGTTGGGAGGCAATCATAGCAGATCGAATTTGGATTAACACATTCCCAGCCATCAGTTTGTTCCCACAGCTTCTTTTGCTGTGGATGTGATGAGGTTACAAAGCACCAGAACAAGGTGATTCTGCGAAATGCATCCAGCTGGAGGCAGGAGTCGTAAAAGGTCTACTGTGTTCCGTTGCTGCGGGCTGCTTTCGCTCACCGGCACAACTCCAGGCAGCTTTTGGAGCTGGCCGATGGCCTTGGGCAGACGCCCCATGCCCTGAACGCCTGCACTCTCTTGCATCGCTTAGCGAGGGCTGTGGTTCGTGAAGGCAGGGGTCTGTCAGAACGCGCCCGCCTCCTGCGCAGCCTGGGTGCAAAATGTGCAGATAGTTGCAGATGTTGCAGGCATGAGCTGACAGAACGCTTGTCCTGGCAAGGGACTTGCCTGCGTGGGAGCCAAGGTAGCCTGGAGCCCTTTCAGAGATTGCTGGATAGAATTTTGCGGTTGGTTCCCGACCTCAACAACATGGAGTTAACCAATTGCTTGTGGGCCCTCGCCACGCTGGAAGCATCAGACACAGAAGCAGAAACTGCTCTTCTTACGCAACTTACGGCGCCAAGGCAGCAAACAATATCAGGCAGAGCGTAGGAATTGTTCGTGTCTTTCGTGTTCGTGGTCTTTGAAACGAAGCAGAATCTAAAGCTTGGTGGGCATTGTCCTTCTACTTTGCGTTTCTCACCTCTCAGGCGGGATGTGCCAAGTATCTCGACAGCTTCGAGCCGCGAAACTTAGCCTTGTCTGCTTGGGCACTCGCCAAAGTGGGCTTTGTGGACAAGGCTTGGTGCCGTCTGTGGGCAGAAGAGGTGAGCCAAAGGCTCTCTACCTTTGAAACTCGGGATATGACAAATGTGATTTGGGCCTTCGCCACTGTGCACTGGCGCGACGAGCGTTTCTTGGGAAGGTTCTGCAAGGCAAGGCATGAAGGGCTTTTGGTTGTTTTGGTTGGGCACAAAGTGACGGGTGACTGGGTAGTTTGGAACATGAGTTCCTTCACCATGTCAGAAACAGTGGAGGAAGTTGAGATCAAAGCGGAGTGCTACTCACCTCAAGATATCGGAAACACTCTTTGGGCTCTGGCCACTCTTTCATGGAGGAGTGATGCCGCGTTGGCGGCCATCAGCAAGCGTTGCTTTGAAACTGCGGTTAGTTTTGACCAGCAGAATCTCTCGATATCCCTCTGGAGCTACGCAACCCTTGGCTACAAGACCATGTGCCTCGTTCACAAATTTTCGAGTGCATTGGTCGGAGCCTCATTCAGGGTGTGCCGCCAAATGATAGCACAAATGTTGCCCATGCCAGGAATTTGTTTCATCATATGACCCAGCTCATCACCGAGCGTATCAAGACCTTTGCATCTCAGGGCATTGCGAATGTGGTCTGGGCTCTGGCAAAATTTCAGTTCCAGCAAAAATGCTTGTTGATGACGATCGCAGAAGAAGCCCCGCCACGGCTGGATGAGTTCGACCCACAGCATCTTTCCATCCTCGCCTGGGCTTACGCGACCCTTGAGTTTCCGAACCGGCCTCTTCTCACTGCATTGTGCCAGGCAGCTGTGCGAAAGATGGACATCTTCAACGCGCAGCACATGGCCAACATGACCTGGGCGATGGCAACCCTGGCCCACAAGGCCAAGACCTTGGCATGGCCTCAGCATCACTCGGCATCACCCTGTTTGTTTTTTGGAATCTTGCGCTTTTTTTGGCGGCCAGGATGAGCGCTACCTGCAAGTCCTTGCTGCCAAGGCCATGGAGCAGGCGGGGACACAAGAAAGCGGGAGGGGAAGGCATCCATTCATATGGAACAAGGCAGGAGCTCCCGTTCTTCCAAGGTCGCGAGCTTCAACCCGCAGGAGTGCTCGAACTTGGTCTGGGCATTTGCTCTGCTCACTTTCCGACACGACCCGCTCCTGAAGGCAGGAGAGCTCGACATAGCTCGGAGCTGCATGCATTCGTTGTCAGTCTTCGCTGCAGTCTCGCGAGAATGTGAAGCACATACATGTTGCACGAATGCAGTGATTTCCGGAAGGCGCTCAGCATCCGCTCCCAGGAAATTGTTTCTGACCCTTGCCTGGCATACGGAGAAATGCCTCGTGTGGATAGGCCCGCTGTGGAATGCGAAGACGGCACACTGCGGCACATGTTTTCATATGTTTTCATATGTTTGCTGAGGCGTTCATCCCCCAAAACTTGGGAAACACGGCCTGGGCATACAACCGCTTGGGCTACCGGGACGAGAGGTTGATGAAGTGCCTGGTAAGCGAAGCAGCTGGAAGACTCCACGAGTGTGCGGGGCAAGAGATCCTTGATCTGATTGAGTCCATATCTACGGGTGGCTATGAAGATGCCGTGCAAGGACCGCAGTGGAGCTTGCTTGTGACCTGGGCTGGGCAGAAGTATGACTCCGTCGAGAAGTTTGTGAAGATATCCAGTGATATGCCGCTGGGTCTTCGCAAGCTGTCGGACTTTGATCGCGCACTAGCTGTCCAAGACTACCGAGACCACATGGCTAGCTTCAGCTTGGTTGGCCTTGGCTTTACCTACACTTCCAAGTTGCTGCGCGAGATTGGTGTCGTTTTATTGGAGGGTTCCCAACGGGAGCATTGGCAGATCCAGTCGCAAGCTGCCGCAGCGAGGATCACTGGGACAGGGAATAACTCCGATGTGACCAAGAACACTGAGGCACAGGAAGGGTTGAAAGTGTGCCGCACCGTCTGCGTCTACCGCTTCGACCTGCAGGCTGTGACCGGGCAGGTCAGGACCGTAGGGCCGACAGCTGTGACCAGTGGACCGGCTTCTGAGGCTTTTGAGCTGGGGCTTTTCTCGGCTATCTTGAGGCATCCACGAGGTGGAGATGGTGAGTTTCAGGCACTCCAGGCATGTGCGCGCTCCTGTCTGGACGATTTGGGCTGCAATCCGATTGGGGCTCCTCCCCTTGATGGATCTGCTGTCGAGGGCGAGCTCTGGCTTCATGTCTCCGAGGTCCCCTGCCTGTCTTGCGTTGGTGCAATGGCCCAGTTTCGGAAGATGTTTCCAGACATTAAACTCCACATTGCTTTCAACCTGGGACGACAGCCATCACAAGATGGCGCCGCAGCGTCTCTCCAGGACCGAGATTTGTGTTGAACCGGTTCGACCTCAAAGCTTATGTGACTGGCCTGAGTCTTACTTTTGAAGTGTCCGTAATAAGAGCATGGGCTGGACCTTAAATCAATCCTCTAAGAAACGTGAGTAGTGGTACCGTATGTGACGATATGGCGAAAGATGCCATCAAATGGCTTGTGTCGCATTGTTTTGCTTCTTGGCTCTCTCCTCACTCGTACTTGCCTGAACCTACCTAGTTACGCATGCGGTGTTTGTGGCTACAAGCGAGAAGCTTGAAGTTCGAATGCCTCTGTTGGCTTTGTGGGGTCATGATCAGGGTGCAGAGGCCCTTCGCCTTGTCCTCGGTCCTCAAGGGATTAGGTTGTATGACCATGCGAATATGTTTACAGAAGCAGAAGGCGTTCACCAACGAGAGAAACGTCAAGCGTGATTCTGGCGGGGCATCCGCCAAACGTAGAAATTGTCTCGTCTTGCGACTGAACCTCATGGCACAAGCGGATTTCTAGGAACTTCCATGAAATTGCAGACCTGGAAGCCTGTAAGTAGCTCTATCATCTAACGACCCCTGCAAAGGGCAACGGCAGCTCTGCGCCTCCAGCACGCCGAGACCGCTAAGTTCTGGGAAAGAGGTCTTGCGTCCCCGACTACGAGCACGTGCCGTTCGCCGTCACGAACATCACCTCCGCGAGCCACAGGTCGTCAAACTTGCTCCCACTCTATATACCATAACATACCAGTTACGGCGATCGCACCATGGAAACCAGGAGCAGGCTTCTGTAAGCTGTGTGAAAGGCTTCAGGAAGTCCACCTTGCGCTCTCCACAGCCTCGCGAAGCCCGGCGAAGCCCATCCTGTGCTGGGCATGCCTCGGTGAAAAGTCACGTGCGGCCTCGGAGCACATTGTATACCCAAATTGTAGCGATGCGTGTGCTGTTGTACGTGCGCCTGCCAACTTGACTCTCGGCGCACAGTGGCAGGACGGCACCGCCAAAGCTGGTGCAAAGCTCCTCAGATAGATGGACTTGCGGCGCGTAAACACAAATCTATATATGTATGCCACGGCGCACCTGGTGAATTGCTTTCTGTGCCAATGTCGTTGCTGCTGAGGTACCAGCCTCACGAAAGAGCTTCGGCTGAGATAGCAATTTACTGGAGTTCCTGTGGCGACTCTGTGGTTCTGCACAAGAGGTGCAGTACTCCGAGAGGAAACACTTGCGCAAAATTGAACCAAGGCTCTGTGAGCTTCGGACCTGGTGAGAGCATGAAGAGCTTTGATATCGAGCTGAGACTTGGTCCACCTTAAACCACAATTTAAGCTGCCCCAGATACCAGACCCAGGCCAAGAGCGTTGTCAACCAATTTCGGCCAAGGATCGATGATGACAATTTCGACACCACCTTGGATTTCAAGGTCATCCTCAGCAACGCGCAAGGTTGCACCATTCAGAAAGACCTGATCCTTGGCTTCATCGGGAGGTGTGCAAGGGACAGACACCAGATCGAAGTTTGTTTGTCAGTTTTCCGCGAGACTCGTCGAAGGAGCATATGCCAAGTCCTGATTTTCGACAACGACTTGTTTCCCTCCAGCGCCACTTGGTTGCAACCCTCACGCGTAACAGTTGCTTCAGGGCTGCATGAAAGTTGGCGTTTTTTGTCGTTTGTCCTTCCCTTTGCTTATTCCGGGTTGGATCGATGTGGACTGTGAGTAGCAGCGAGTCTCGGCGTGTCGTGCGACTCAGGAGTTTCGCGAACATCTCCACGATATACAGAATGTGCAAGAAGACGCCTGGCATGCATGCCGGGGCTCGAGAACACATGCGGCATGTGAAAAACAAGTCTCGGAGCCAAACTGAGTGCAGAATTGTGGCAGTCCGCACGGGGTAAGGAGCAGAGTGAATGGTCTTTCTCTACTAGGGCCCTAGGGGGATGGCGAGATTGGGCAGGGGTGTGGGGCCGGAGGGCTTGGTTTTGTGGCTCGGTGGCTTTTTCTTGGCTTTGCCGGTTCCGTGTTTTTTGTTGGCGTTTCTTGGCTGCGCTTTGCCTCGCCGTTTTGCAGCTTCTTGGGTGTGTTGGCTTCAAGGGGGGCGGGGGGTGGGGGGCCTTGCATGTATACCTGACAGCACACATGTCACATGCACATAGGACACGTGATCTCGAGGGCTGCATTGGCTTGCGATGTTCGACATGAGGAAGAGCTGCACCAAATCGGATTCCGATTGCTGTGGGCCTTCATGCGTTTTACATTTCGACACGTGCCTACCATCTGGTGGAAGTCGATAGTGGCTGTGTTCTTGGCCCAGCTGCTGGGACGAATAGACATGCGCAGTAGCTCTTGTCACCTTCACGCCGTGGGAAGTGTGCAGAGTGACGGGGCAAGAAAAGCAGAGGCTGGGCAATGCATACTACTTGATGACTATCTACCTCAAGGCAGGTATGTTGATGAGCCAGGTCACGAGACAGTAGACTGGATCATTGCATCCACGAGGTCTACATGGTAGACGTTTGCCTCAATGAAACTCGGCCCAGCATGTGGGGGGGGGGGGGGGTGGGCGGGGGGGGCACTGGGGGCAATGTCTTGCAGTCCCGCAGGGGCGCACGTATTCGTCCGGCCTCCAAGGTTAAGGATGAGTCAACTTTGGAGAGCGACTGGTTTGCAACCGGCGGACACTTGTAGCCTCCAAAAGACACTACCCGTGGGGACATCATGGGACATCCCAAGTTGCACCCAGGACTCCTGGTCCCAGGAAGCCGTGGTCTCACAGCTGCCGTCCTGGGCCTGTGTTGGCTCCACGTCTGAAATTGTTGTCCACTGAGTTCACTGCATCCTTCGCCGAGATTTACATGCTTTCATACTTTAACACTCTTTAATCTTTAATTTAAACGCTGTCAGCTCAGGGTCCTCCCGAACTTCATCCTGGCCACTTGGCTGGCACATGCCCCCCCCCCCCCCCTCCCCCGCTTTTTTCGTTTAAGCGAGCGCTCGCCTCCCATGCTCTGGCCCGTAGACTCCGTGGACTGGTGTGCTTGCACGTGGCGCTTCCGACTTGGCCCAGGTGGCATCAGATCACTTTGAAATGTCTGCCGCGAGCTCAGCATCTCTACTTCCCAAGCTTATATGCAGCCCAAATAGCTGAAGCAGAGGTTCTGCAAATGTAAATAAAGCCTGATTATGGAGATGTGCCGAAACGCCCAAGAGCCCGCAAACCGGCGCTCGTCTTCACCGGCACTTCTGTAGCAGTGTAGCCATGGCTATGAAGAAAAGCAGTGGCTCAACAGAGACACAGTAACACAGCCCAAAGAAATCCAGCTGAAAGCACAAGGACCAGGACCAGTCATGGTATGTACGTCTATTGCTAGGCTTGGACTCCATGTGTCAGCAAGAGACCTCTCTCTAAATGGAAAGAGGATTAGTCTGAGTCTGAGAGAACTTAATGCCATTTAAAAAAAGCCCAAGCACAGGTTCTGGAAATGGGTCCTGGCCTCGGCCCACTTGGCCTCAACTGCTTCGCAGCCCCGCTCAGCCCAGACCTAGGTTTTCACATTCGTCAGCACTTGCGGGTAAACCTCTTCCGCTGGAGACCAAGTAGACATCGCACGTCTACAGTGCGCCTGCAATGCCTGCATATGCCTGCATCAACAGCGCATGATGGCATCAACAGCACATGACCTGCAGCCTGAGGCAAGTACTTGAACTACACTCGTCAATCGAGGCTGAGGGCTCCCACTCCCTTGCACATGGCTTGAGCAAATACAAGAAGTGTATGCAAAGTATGCTGACTGTTGTGCACGTTGTGGCCGGCCTTGTCCTCACGTCATCGCCATGTCTCAAGAAGCGGACGGCATGTTCAAGAGGCTACGAGTGCCGATTCAAGATCTCAAAACGAGCATGATGGAGGACATGCTTTGCTTGCAACAAAGGTGTTATGGCCACCACGTAGCCATGTCGTAAGCCATGTGGCAGGACATACCGACCCTAGCCAGAGATGGCTACCTCATAATCTTCGATATTTTGAAAAAGGTTATGAAGGCTGAAACATGCACATGTGGGCAGACAGTTTCATGGCTTCGGGTATGCGACATATTCTTTCCGACCTGTTTTCAGGTGGCTTGTGTGGGCTACTGGCTGCTAAAGAAGCATCCTCGCTCCGGCATTCCCTTGGCAATCTACCCCACCTTGATGTGGCTTAGCTGCATATAAGCCAATGTCCACCCTTGATCGACCGGCTGTGACAAGCACGAGGCTCCTGTGGCTGGGCTCGCGCTACAAACGCAGGCCGTGTGGCGCATTAATTCGTCACCTCACGCGATCACGTGCTGAAGGATGTCACGTTCACGTTTTGGGGGTGATGCTCCAATGCCTTCAGCCATGTTCAGGTATTGTGAATAGATTTCTCACCATGCAGTGTAGATGCGCAGAAGCACACGGCACTTCCATGTTCATTAGCTGTTGAAGGCTTTGGCTACTGAAGAAGACCGGTGATGGAGGAAGCGACACTCAAGGTGCCCAGCAAGCGACCTGAGTGCGACCTCACTCCCCCAGTAGCTGCAAGAAAGGCAAGCAGGCAACGACCCCTGACAAAAGCGCATGAAATCTGTGGAACGGTTTCTGAGCGACGCAGGCTGGCTGCTCCACGCAGATGCCTCCTATGAGTCATGGCAGCCAGGTGGTCGCAGGTTGCGGGAAGTGGAGCACCTTCAACACGTACCAGAGTAATTTCTTCTCTAGGTTCCAGGTAGCCAGTCACAGGTCAACAGGGTATGAACCTCACATACGAGGAATTGCACGAGCAAGTTCCAAAAATCTTCACCACAAACATTCGTACGAAGACTGCCTCCGTGTGTACAGCTCTTCGGCTTGACACGGCTCCACGCGTTGCATTTTACTATAGATGGATCTGAAGGTGAGAAAATACAGCACACGGTTTCCAACAAACTAAGGACCTGGTCAATGACTACGGGAACCGTCTCTTGCTCCAAGCACTGGCGAAATGCCGAAAACGAGACATGGACATCACTCGATGGTTCCGCTGACGCTAAGCCCAGGTAATGCCATCGTGGGAAAGTTTCAGAAGGTGTTGCAAGATCAGCGAAGATTGGTCATGGCCTTGAAGGCATTTTCTTTCTGGACGCTTCAGCTGCAAGTTTTGTACTCGAAATTCGCGAGCACTCTTTTCCTGGCGAGAAGAAGTGATTTTCTATTCATATTCGTAAAACGTTTCATTGTTCGTGGCTGAGGAGTGGCATTGTAATCCCCTGGATTACCATCATTGCAACCGGCTTCTACATCGCCACGGCCGGAAAGCTCGTAACTGAAGGCCACCGCGCGCTCGCCGAGCAGAATATTCGAACTTCATTATCGCTGCCCAGTTCGCAAATCCCCAGCCAAATGTTTTGCATAGTCTACATACGGATGTATATAGACATATTATGTGTATATATATGTATATATATATATATATGGTCACCCCCATCCGCCCCTACCCGCCCCAAGACCACAGTTTATAAATATACATATATATATATATAGGTACATATATATAGATATAGATATATGTACATATATATATATATACATGTTTGTATATATATATATATGTAATTTGTCTGGTCACTGTTAGTACCTTTAAAACAGGTTTAATGCCCGAATTACACCCAGTATTGTTATGAAAGCTGTTCAAATTGCCTGGCGCACTTAAGGAGCAGAATCTTTCGGAAAAGAATTGGTCCGAATTCTGTTCATTCAGTCGAGAAGATGGGTTCGCCTGATATTATTGCTATTTAAGTCATTTAACAGTTTGACGGCCGCAATTCTACTAGTATGATTTATGTCAGTTAAGATATCTCGCGTATGTGTTGTGGGATTGTGGGGTGTATGAGTACGAGCCTCATTTTCATGGGAGAGGTGTGGTCTTGGGAGGGCCAGGGGGCGATCTTTTATGTATATACATATTTATGTAAATGAAAACATATACACGCTACTTCACGACAGTGTGATGCATAAAAACGTTCCAAGCCTTGATTTCGAACCCCTTGCCTATAGGTAGGGGTGCTGCAGGTTCTTCCCGATCTTGCCACGGGGCCTGATTTCTTGGATTATCTGTTATCAAGCCGAAGCATTGTGATTCATTTCAATCAGCCCTCCAAAGTATAATGATTATCATATAATCGTGCCTATGTCGGTGCCTTCGCAAATCACCTTCTTAGGGAATTCACAAAGCTGCGGCCTAGTGGTGACATCCATCTCGCCTTCAGTGAACACGTCACACCTGACTTCTTCTTATATTTAGGTTTTACCACGTGAGGCATCAGGCTAGCATTGCGAGGCGAGCTTTCCTTGGGATCATTTTTGGCGACCATCAATTTGTACAAAGCCACTTGTCAGCGGTCGATTGGTGGCGAGTGGATCTATTGCAAAGAAGATGCGTGCTCGTAGTGCGGACCATTTCGTGGGGCCCACGCGATTCCCATTGCTTGTGCAGAAACTGAGGATCTGGGTGACCGGTTTGATGGGAAGCTTGGCAGCATCTGAAGCTTGCAGGACCACGCTCCTCAGTGAAAAATGAAAACGGGCATCAGCCACAGTCGAAAAAGACTTGTGACGCTACGAACGCGTGCTCAACGATTCCTTCGGTTTCATACCAGCCCAAGTGCTTGGCTAGACATGGCTGGAGCGAGGCTGTTGAGATCACTTTCGTGCAGCCTTAAGGATCTATGCCGACTTCGAGGCCCTGTCTGAGGTCATTGATCCTTTGTCCGCCAGGAGCTGAATATTTGACGTCGACACAATCGCATTTTCCTCACATCCTGACGCCCCATGCCAGGTCCTCACAGTACAGTTCAACTTGGAAACGGATCTGCCGCAGCGGATGGAAGCACACGAAGCACACGAGCAGTAGCTTGGACGGGTTGGGCTGTCACCGAACCTCGTTAATCTGAGCTTTCTTGTGGTGGGGAGGCATCATGCTTTCCGAACATTGGTCTGGCTCCAGGTACCTTGCAAAGTATTTTGCAGAACAATCTGCGCCTGCTGCACCTGTTTTTTCCGACAGCGTGTACGAAGCTTGCCTCATAATGACCTGTCTTTGTTTCGTCGTCTTGCATGATCATCGTGGAGCAGAGACAAGTGTTGAGGACACGGTGCCCATCTTCCTCAGCGATGCAACCCGGCAAGTTGCCGCAGCGAAGGCATCTAAGCATGTCCTGGGACTGCAGGTAAAGATCCGTACATCGCGACCGCCACCTGCCGGGCTCGCGTGCAGGCGGCAAAGCAAAGCACACGACAATGATGTGTGAACAGTTCTGCAGTACTTCTGACTTGTATGCCGCATGTGGCGCCCGAAGGGACCAGGACTTCAACCCTTCCGACACTCCCAAGTCTCCACGAGCCATGGCTGCAGTTAGCACTCCCCAAGCTGCAGCCATGCAAGCTTGGCACAACCATTGGCAGCCTGCAAGTGTCAGATCCGTGCTGTTGAGGACTTAGCAAGCCGTTGTCAGCCCGCGTGGAGCAAGGCAGCGGGAATCCAAGAGTGTCAGCCAAGAGATGCCACGAGCGAATTAAGGAAAGTGAGGTTAAACAACAGCAAGAGAGCAAAGCTCCGATCAATCACACAAACACACAAACTTCCCCCCAAACAACAAAACACCGGCAACTGCACCGGCAGAATCACGAGGCTCACAGCCAGGAGCCCAATAGGAGCTATCTCTAGATGGAGAGATGGAGGCAGCGTTGCAGAGATGCTACGAAGAGACTCTTTCGTACAGTTGCCACTTCAGATGCAATGCTCAGCCCCATGACCAGAGAGCAAGAGAGAAAGCAACAAAAGGAGACATTTTTGTATGTGTGCCAGATGGTTCCCCCTTACTCAAGACCGACAAATCTTAAACTTCCAAGCCTTGGGTATGCAAATGGTGGAATGGCAAAAGGCGTGTGCATGGAGCTGAGCTGCTCTGTGAGCCAGAACACACAGCATCCTCATACTTGCTGCAACTCTTGCTCAGGGACAACTGGGTTTGACAGGTGAGTGGTCCGGGGGCCAGCACGACTTTTTAAGACCGGGGGGGCGGCCTTGTCTAAGACTCGGACAGCTCACATGGGGTTCTCCTTCCACGGACGGCTCTGCAGGTGGTGTGCTGTGTCAAAACTTTCGTCCCAGTGTTGCGTATGAGTATTCGGAATCATGATCACCATTCTTCTTATCCGAGGCTTGATCTGCGTAACCGGTCCGCCCGGCTGCGGAAAGACGAGTCTCCTCTCCCTAATCACAAAGGACTGTCCCTCGGCACTTGATGGGCAGATGGTGCCAGATATGCCGGTGACATGTCAATGTTCCAGCCAAATATGTTCTACAGATTCCACGGCAATTTGGCTTTGAGGGAGCCTGCTCTGCTTGTAGCAGCCAGCTTTCAAGTCCTCATTTAAAACCTGCAGGTCTGCCAGCCTCCGGCGAGGTCAGACTACCTCCACACCTCCGAGTTGTCCGTGTTTCTTCTGAGCCTTCCTTCGTGAAGTCAATGGGCTTGTTCCGCGGCAAATTTTGAGAGACCAGGGTCTGCTCATTTTATCTAGTTTTGGGCGAGTTTGGGGCACGCCAGAATCCATAACGTGGCGCCAAGCTCAGGTATGCCAACTTGGTGCTGCAGCCTTAGCATCGTTCAATATAGTTTAGCTGTTTGGCAGCAGCACACCTTCTATCCATGCAGGTGCGGTACTAGCAAGATAGCTCTTGTGGCTGCGTCTGTTGTGAAAAGTCTGCTCCATCCATGGATGAGGTTCGGCGTGTTGTCTGCAGAGGGGTATCACACCTATACCAACCCTGAGCGGGTGACTTGCTGAGCGGAACCGGTATACCCGCATTTGGCAAGCTCAAGACGAATCTCCAGGTGTGTGTTGCCAAGTTCTGTGGTCAGGTCGGCCGAATTCTGCGACGCCTCTCCCTGCATCATTCCTGGATCTTTCATGCTGTGATGAAGGCCCCAGACATATCAAGCCAAGTAGCCGCACTGCACATGTCGTGCATCTACAGCCACATCGACCTGGCTGAACCGGTCTTCTTGGCCCAGCCTGTATAGCCCTGTCGGCCATGCACAGCTGGCCTAGAAGCTCACCCTTATGACCAGATGATCTCGCACCCGCGCAGCCCAGATCTTCACACCTGCTGTGCAGCACAGCACAGATCACAAGCAGCGCATGCTGCATTCTGAGCAGGATTGTCTTCAAGAGGAAGAGCAGGAGGAGCTCCATCAATTGCCTGAGGAGGAGGAAGACGTCTTCAAGGCCCAATGCGGTTCGTCACGATGTCGCTTTGATGAAACATGCACTTCTGCATATGCAGCGCAGACGAGGAAATGGAAAGAGTCATGAAAGAGCATGAGGAGGCAGCCACAGCGGCAGCCACAGCACGGGCGTGTCAGGGCGTGACAGAATGCAGCAAAGCATGACTTGGAAGATGCCGGAATCCTGGAAAATTAGTACTTTAGTTCTCAGGCTTCGACCTTGGAAGACCCGGAGTTCGAGCTGCAGCAGGTTGAAGTCATGTCTGCTTGTCTGCCTCCTTTGAACAAGCCATGTGGTGCCACCGTTCCTCGCGTGAGGACCACCTCAGACACTGGTATGATTGCATGAGCAAAAGCGAAGCCAAGCGACTGCATCTGGCCAGAGCCTTCATCGCCAGCCCAGAGGTGCGGCGAATTGCTGCGAGCATGGAAATCGCATTGAGAGAGAGAGAGAGAGAGAGAGAGAGTGCCCATGTGCGCCTGTGCAAGCTCCACTCAGATGGTTGAAATTCTTTCACAGTGCATGTGTGTGCAGGTGCTCATTCTGCATGCACCCCTGGACGACCTGGATGTGGGGTTGGCGAAGGATGGAGACTCAACAATTGCGATTGCACCTGAGCCGCGCACAAGTCACAAGCACCAATGCTGGCACCTCATAGGACCTGCTACTCTTGATGCGAGAGTTCGTGGATGAGAGAGGCAGGTCCTCCCCTTTGGTTGTGGAAGTAGTAGCCCATGACCGGCGTCTGAGAACTCAGCTGTATGTGTACGAAATGCATGACACACAGATGGCTAAGAGTTCGTGCACAAGATTGCGCAAACCAGGGGTTGCCCTGGATCCTGCTACGAAGAACTGCCGCTGCAAACGGAGCGTGCTTTTTGGATGCACTGCCAGTAATTGCCCATGTGTCTTGGGGCATTGGGGGTGGGTAGATAAGAGGCACTGTTCGTGTGGGAGTGACTACAGCGGTGGCCACAGGCAACAGCTGCTGCACAATGCGCTCAGGTTCTTCTCTGCAAAGGATACGGAGATGCGCTTCCGCTGCAGAGAGCCGCGCTTTTCCTGATTGCTTCATGCTGCAGATACGCCACCCACCGTCTGTTTCTGTATTCGCAGATGTTGCCTCGTAGTTACGCAATGTACAATCTGGCAAATTGTGAGCACCTTGATTGTTGCAAAACACAGGCCGCGGGCCTGGGTTCTTGCATTCTATTCTAGGATTCCTACTTGCTGCAGACTCTCTGCAGACCGCCGGCTGACAGTGCACGGGCTAAGATGTCAACTGCTCTGAGTCGCTGAGGTGCAGACAAATTGCCGATTTTACGTGCGCACTAGGCAGATGACAGTCAGGTCTTGCATTCCGGGGCACCTTCACGGGCATAGGGGCATACTTGCAGGCAGTGACACAGTCGCCCTCAGCCTAGACCCAAGAATAGAGACGAAAGATGGCGGCCGTGGCCTCAGCATGGTGGCAGGTGCGATGGCCAAGAGCGTCAGTGCCGCTGTCGAGGTTGGCTCTGGACTTGTGGTGAGGGCGGCTGAGAGCTTCTTGAGAGCTCAACGCAACCTCTCGCAGTCCCATTTTGCGTTTTCAAAATACGCCGGGTGACTCACAAAGAATTGAGTCCTCAACAGTTCGGCTGTTTCACGAACAAAGTGTCGACCCGTACACCAGACGACGGGCGAAAACAGTGAGTGGGGGCAGACACCCTTACGGCTGGGTCGAGCATAGTCGGGACATGAAGCGGCAAGCACGTCAACTGCATGTAAAGGCGAGCACTTGCGCCACGCTGCATATATACCACAATCTCCGCTGCCATACTTATGCACTCAAATCCCAGACAGTATGCGAGGCACGAAACGGCGGGGTGAGAGGAGGGCTCTTGACTCTTGCCGACTCTTCTTGGCGGATGGCGGGCCGCTCGAACCGCACGCCTCAGCCCTGGGAGGAGAAGCGCCAGCAGACGGAGAGGTTGGTGAACCAATGCATTCAATGCATTGACACCACAAGATCTTCAGCTCTCGTCTCCGGAGCTGAAGGCCTTAAAGCAGAGGTTGCGGGAGAGATGGCGGAAAACGGCGAGACCGAGGAGGCCCTGAACCAAACAGAACCTCTAACAGAAGCTCCTGGAAAAGCAGAGATGGCCTACACCTTCGAAGCCCGAAGGCAGTTCCAACAGGTCATGGCAAAGCAACAGAGGGCCTCAGACGAGCGAAGGTTCTTTGCAGCTGAGAAAGGTTCGGGCTTGCCAAGTTGTCGTTTAGGCCCAACCTCCCTGAGTGCACCAAACGGACTCCGGGGTCATTTTCACAACAGTGTGGGGGTGAGATCGGCCTACGGAAGTCACCGCTGGCCCCAATCTTTGCACGTGAAGTGGGATGGCTCACACATCGACCATACCTTAGCAGAGGAGTCTAAACCAAACCCAAAGATGTCAAAGATGAATGCTGCAACCCGTGCCCGGCAGTTCAGCTGCTACTTCGGTTCTCACGATTCCTTTGCTGCTAAGCGTGACAAAGCGGCACAGGAGTACGCAGATGCAGGCCCCTACAGGGAACCCACCAATCCAGAGTTCCGGGAAGACATTCCGCAGCGCCACGGCAAGTTTGGTCGCCGAGCTTTCAACGCTCAAGTCGGCTTCCGTCATTACGAGAATCCACATGGCATCAGTGAGATTGACAACAAGCCACAGGAAGACTTCCGTCGAGAGCAGGAGCGGGTGGAGGAGTTTCTAGACCGATCTTTGCCTCCGCGCCAGGCCCAGCACTTCAAGCAGTACATGCCTAAGGCCGAGGCGCCGCAGAAGTTCGAGGACATGAGCACACGGAAAAGGATCAACGATGGCATCGGTGGTGGCCAGAAGACAAGCTCGCTAGGCTATGGGCAGATGAGGTTTTCCGACGACAAAGACTTCAAGTTGTATGCACGACCACTTAACACAAGTCAGATGGATCGGGCCGTTCCGATCTCATGACTTACGACAGACTTGCAGCCACACGAACTGCCAAGCAGCAAATGTGGAATTGCAACACAACTCATGGCTTGCCTTCTCTGCGATGTCCTCAGCGTCTCACCCACAAATAAGTCTGCCAAAATGGCAGAAGCGAGGAGGCGGTATGTAGTGTTGCCGAAAACAGTCCCTTTCGGCTAGCTCTTCTAGGTCCCTGCATCAGCCTTGTGCACGTGCTCTACAATTGCAATCCGAAAGCTTGCCCGACCATTCACAGCCTGCCAGCCGTTGGCTTGCCAGATCTAGTCAGCCGGCCTGCGAACATCGCGGCGGTTTGGACTGAGCGAAGTGCGTTGCAAGTCGTCTCTAAGAGCAGAAACGAGACTTCCCAGGGGCAACTTGGCAAGCTGGTCATTGCACCCTCTCTTCATTCCATAGACATAGAACCAAGCAATGAAGCATCCTTGTCGTCACATTGCCACTTCTTTAGTTGCCAGGCAAAAGGCCGGCAAATTTATGACAAATAATGCTGCAACCGGGGCTTCAGGACCCTCGCGCCCTGAAGGGTGCAGGAGCGCCCTGGTCCGTGCCGCAGCAGTGCCAGGCTAGTGAGCGATTGCGTGTAGGCGTGTACTGCTGCGTTCACAGGCCTGATTGTTGGATCGATCGTGTTGTGCCATTGTACCTTGCTTACATCTGCCTTCGCTGCCTCAGGACTAGTGGTTGAGGTGTTGCTTCATCTTACGTAAGCTTTAAAACTCTAAGGACTGCGGAGGTCAGCCCCTGGGCTTCAGTAGCTTCTTGATATCGTAATTGCGAGAGCTTTGCAAAATCGTTCTTATTGCTTGGTTGTACGTTGCTACGGCTGCTACGTTTTCTTGTTTGATTTCGGCTTCCTTTGCAACTTGTCTTTCAAGAACCGAATAGTTCGTCGCAACGGGCGACGTCAAGCGACAGGATGGAAACCAGCAGCCTTCAATGACTAGCAGGAGGTTGTACACCGCCGCTCATGTGCCTCTTTGAGTGTGGGTATGTGTGCTCCGTGCGACGGTATGATTTCAAAGAGGACATTGAGATTCCTTATGAAAATGTGTGAGATAAAAAAAAGGGTTTCTATTGCAATGTACGAATGTAGGACATGTAGAAGGGACAGCTGTTCCTTTCAAAAGCATAATATAGAGGCTCTCCGACGACATTCTAGATGAAAGGCACGCTCTGGCGGGCAATGCCGAAAGCATGTGCTACATTGAGCACATGTTGTTAAAAGCACAGCAACGTCTAACAAAGAGGTTTACGTAGCTGGAAAATATAGCAATCCATAGAGGAAAGAGCTGCCTGATAGTCACTTGTGGTCGATGGTGTTCGCATTGACTGATTGTGCTTTTCTTGTTTCTGATGTCTTGGGCTTACTTTTTGTCATGATTCTCTTGGAATGTATTCCATGCAGGGTTGAGACGATGGTGGTGTTTATGTTTCATTTGTTTTAAGGGAAGTTACATGGTCCCTTAAGATAATCCCTTGCATTCTTTACGTAAGTATGGGCCCTTGGGTTTTGTAGGGTATACAAGGGGTATAAGGGCCCATATTAACCTGCCTGCTTGCTTGTCTGCTTGCTTGCGCGCGCTTTTCCCCAAGAGGCGCGTCAAGTCTCTTTCGAACATACGTATGTTGGGTGAGGAGGGGAGTGTGGAGACACGTGAAATGTAGTCGGATGTGGAGAATGGAGAAGAGAGAGACTATGAGGGTGGCGTTCAGAGGCCACGTGAAGCGAACTCAGAGAAGTGAGGCAAAGATTGCCAGTCCAATGCTTGATTGTTTCAACTTTGGGGCCCACCGCAGTTCATGCGGTGGCTTGGTTGTCCCTCGGGGGAAAATGGCGGAGTAGCTTCCGATGATCGAAAAGTGATGTGTAGTGGACCAGCAGTCCTTGCCGGCACTTGTCGAGGAAGTGCATGTACGGAGGGATGGAGGGTCATATGGGGTTGCTAATGCCGTGGGGATGGGCCCCATGATTGAAAGCTCCAGCTGGAGGCTGCACGGCCGGCCAGGCTGAGACACGACTGACATAACAGCAAAAGCCGTGCCGGACACAGGCAGAAGGCTGTAGAGAAAGCTGCTTTCTTAGGCTTCCAGGGTTTTTTGAAGTCTGAGTCTATGCGAGCTGCCGGAACTTTACACCCCTCAAAGCATGGCAAAAGACAGCACAGGTACAGTAGCCCCATGTCGTCAGGTCAAGGCCATGCGCCGGGAGTACTCGTAAGCGATATTGCCCTTGAATTTGGGCATGACGCCTTCGAGGACAGACAGATGTTGCAGTTGCTTCGAGTTGCTGCGAGTTGCTCTGGATACGGAATTTGCAGGACAATGACGTGGGAATAAGGCTGGTTTTTTTGTGTTGCTCAGGAATGCCACTTGTGCCAGTATGTCGGCTGCTTGTTCAGTTTGCTCGCAAGGTTCACTCCGGCCATCCTAGCTTTGCTACGAGAAGCGGTTGAAACCATTCAGGCTTCTAAGCCCGATTGTGTTGTTCTGTTGGAAGGCCGGGGCATCGCACTTGTAGGGCCATATGATTCTGACTCTTTCTTGTGACTTGCTCAGGCCACACACCCGGTCGGCCAGAGGACAACAATCCAATGCGCCGCAGCATTGGCGAGGAGCTGGTGGAGGGTGGAAAAGGGAATGCGGAAGTTATTCACTCACCGGACCCCCCTCGCACAAGCTCCAGTCAGTCACCTGGGCAAAGCTTGTCGCCTTGGTCTTCCACCTTGCCTAGATGATAGAAGGTGCAGCTAGGAAAGCATCGAGGATACCAGTATCAGCGCTTCGGGACCCCTATGATCAGGGCACGTACCATATTCCTGAAAGGGACCCTAATCTGCTTCAGGAGGCAGCAACTTTGAGCCATGGCAGCAAGTTCTCCAAAGACGGCAGGGCAAAGCAACTTCACGATTCAACTTCACTGCGTGAGGCTGCGGGACCATTTCGAGACGGAGGGCGTGTGCCATTCGATTCGCTGCATTGGCTGCGGAAGTGCCGAGGGCCTTGGACTTCGCGTGCGTGTGCGCTTGGAGGCTGGCCGTTTTTCAGGATGTCTTGCATTGATCAGCTCCACGGTGATCTGCGGTGGTTTTCTGCAGGAACTCGAGTCCGCGCCGACGCGAGCCCCACCAACTCCAGCCAGCCCGACTCAAGAGACGGACAGTTGTGTCTTGCCACCTAGTCATATCCATCCTCCCAAATCATGTATGGGTGGGAAGAGGATGCCATCCAGCAACTGCACAAGCAGCTTCGACAGCTGTCCAGCACCACTCTTGGATGCTTGGAATCTCGCAATCAACTCTAGACTGACTTTCCCTGCTTGTCCATTCAGGTGCCATGCCGTTGACATTCAAACCAAATTCGGCAGATCTGTCGCAAGAAGGCACGTGCTTTGTGCTGAAGACCGCCCCCTGGCCTAGTTCAGTGAAATCTGACATGTTGCTGTGTTTCAGTGTGCTTGGCTTGCATTGGGGCATATTGGAAGGTGAGATGAGTTGTCCTGCTTGAGGAGTGTCAAAAGAAGCTGAGGCCAAGTTGGTTCGCTCATATCCCGAGCTTGTCATCCAATGCTCAGGCAGCGACAATAGTCAGTTTAGAGACATTAGAGACTCTGTAGACTGTAGAGACGCGCCGCGCATTGAACTTTTCCAGCGCAGGCTTTGCAGAGGGGCTTCCAGAGGAGGACAGCCAAGCCAAGCGCCAACTTTCGCAGCTTCGCGCAGATTCCATCGCGAAGATGCTGCGAAAGCATGGCGCTGGCTCCTCAGGGTGAAACATCTAGTAACCCGCTGCGTCTCGTGCAGACTTGAGATGTGACGATATGTGACGTATCGCAGGTCAAGAACAAGATTCTCAGCTACGGCTTTGGTTCGGCACTGGGGTCCGGGCTCTCTGCCTCCATGGCCTCTCTGGATTTTCTTGCACCCGACACCGATACAATGTCCGATACAGTCCATGCGGAAGAGGAGGAGTTTCGACTCTCTGCTCGACATGGGCTGTGATGTCCCAATGAGGCGCTTTCAATGTTGGACGGTTTGGCACGGCCACGTGTTGCATAACCTAAGGGCTCATCCCGAACCCCGGCATCTCCGAAGAGCATGAAGGCTCGGTACTGGACGCGCTCCTCAAGGACATGCGAGACAGTTCGCACACACTCGATTGCATCTCAAAAGTTCGCACACTCCAATGACGCAGATGCACAGAGTGGCCCAAAGGGCACGCTTTCCGCTGGCAGGAGCTCTTGTCAAAGTACACCTTTGAGCCAAACAGCGCAAGGATGCCACTTACAGCGGCATGATACTGTTCTTTGCCTGTGGATGTGCAGCTGGCAGACGAGTTCAGACGCGCATGTTATGACGAATTTGCAGGAATCCAGAGTCGTCCGCGGCGTCTATGCTTCGGATGGTGTCTGTGGTGCTCAAGTCCTTTCCCAGCTGGACTGTCAGGTGCCGTCTACAGAGTCTACATGCTGTGGGAGATGTCCTGTGTAACGGCCTAGTGGAGCATTGCAATCGGTTTGCTCAAGTTGCCCGTCCGGGGAGGTGACATAATTTCATTGACATAGCGGCACAGCGATTGGACATGCAGGGACTACATACGTGCGATGTTCGCTGTCCAAGTCTGCCCACCGCTGCGGGATGCTGCGGGGCAATGCGCCGTGACCGGGAGCATCAGCTTGTGCACCTCTACATGGCAGGAAGGAAGCCTCCCTCACTCGCTATTGTATCCAGAATGTGAGGATGCCAGGAAAGCTCCATTGGAAGGGCTAAGGAAGAAGAGCTATGGGAGAGCTCTCGACCTTGGAAAAATGAGAGTTTCATCCCACCCTCGAGTCGAACAGGTCTGGTTCATGGGCTAAGCTGACAGAGGTTCCAGGACATGGCCAAGCACGTGGAGCCTGCTTGGCCTGAAGGAGCCAAGACCGAAGTACTGCCGCACGCGCAACAAATGTGCCCTGGTGCCGGGCCAAACTCCAGGATGCCCAGCTATCAGCCACGACATGAACCAATATGCTCAGATTCCCCGCCCCCCCCCCCCCCCCCCCAATTGTAGCTGCAGATCGCCAGATCGAGAGTCGGACCTCATCAGCGGTATCATGTTTCAACTTCGAACGCCGTTTGAAGCGATAACATTATCTAGAGTGGTATGTTGTCATCCATGCCTGCGTGTTTGCATTCTGGATGGGCACGCTTCCGGGGTAAAAGCAACGTGCTCCCCATCTGGTAAACCCAGGCAGCCTCATCCTGTAGGGGATCCACGTGTCTAACATTCCAAAGTGAAAATCTTTGTGATGCGTATCATCGGTGCAGCAGTAATCTCTTGCCCTTCAGACTGCATGCTACTGCAAATAGTCTCACATGCTGCGACGTCGTGTCCAGAAGCTCTCTGTGCCAGCTTGGGCTGCGGCTGTTTGCCAAACTCTTCTTCTGTGTATTGTCATTTTCAAAGAGGGACATGTGTGAGCCGATCAACCGTGTGTTTCGCCATCGGCAGACGGGTGTCGACAGGTGCGAAGGTCATGCGAAAGGCTTGCCGAAGGACAACAACCCGGAGAAGAAACAGCTGACACTTGACTCACTTTGAGACATGAACAATGGAGGCTGAGGTCTATAAATTCCCCATAAATGGTCGAGTCCGAGTCTTGTTTTGAAAGGTCCCTGGCTCGAGCGGAAAACTTCCGGAGAGCTTTGCAGGAGCGGGATGCGATGGATGCGAGGTTGCGTGCACCTTGTGGTTTCCTAGCAGTTCTAGCATGGGATGCTGTGTACCAGGACTTGGGAGTACGAAGCCCGATACAGTGCTTTGGCTACGGCTCGGAGATGGGCATCGGCAAAGCCGTGCGCATGTACGCTCTAGGACGAGAAGGCTGCCTGCAAAGTTTGCTGTCTGGTCCGATGCGTGAGCTATGCTGGGATTGTCAGGAGCTTTCCACATTGCAGACCTCGCTGGTATGTCTGGGGACGAGAGGCCAGGAGGTCAAACCCAGACCTGTGGGCGTGGGGGTGGGGTTTCACGACATTCCCGTTGATAGTGGTGAGAAGCAACACAAAACCGCCCGAAAATCAAGTGAAGTCTGGAAATGCCAGGGGGTACCTCGTGCCCTGGGCTTCTGGTGGAGCTTTGATGGGTTTTCTGGTGTGAGCAGAAACCAGACTGCAAATCAAGAACATTCCGGGCAGCTCCGAAGAGAACAGTTTTTGTCGTGCGTTCGGTGGTGGGTTGGAGTTATATTGCTGAAGTGCAAGAAAGCCTATAGAGTAAAAAAGCTAAGCAGCCAGAAGCTCGAAGTTGTAGGTTTGCAAGTGCAAGAATCTGCGCCAGGGCGAGAGAACTGGATCGGCTGCTGGATCTAGCCCTCACCAGCAGCAGCATCGATTTCGTGCCGAACCAGACAGCCATCCCGAAATCTGCTGCAGGTCCACCTCCATTTCAACACAGTGCAACGAAAGTCTCGGAACTGGGGTTTGGACAAGTGTGAGTGGAGCTCCTTGGAAGGTGTCCTGTCCACCATCGCAGAGTTGCTGGGGGCTGTCCCAGAAGACATGATGCTGGTTTGCGAAGCGCATGCCCGAGGTTTGCCAGAGGAAAACACTGCCCCTCGGCTCCTTGATCAACGGAAGGGTGGAGGGAGGTGTCGCATGCATTGGTCAAGGATGATCATGGCGTGTGGCGCTCGCTAAGGATAGCAAGCAGAAGCTGACAAAGCGTCGGGCAGTTGCTTGGCCTTTGTAAATTCGTAGCCGCGGAAATTGCAACTAACATGGGACCTATTCGTCCACTCGTTCACTGACTGCAGAGTGTTTGCAAGCAAGGAGCTGTGGTGTCAGGAACTTCGAGCGCGTGGTGTCACGCAAACCTTGCAATGTAGAGGAGCTGGGTGTGGGCAAGGGCTTGGGCCATGCATTCGCATGTGGGTGACACAGGCGGTGAAGGCAGGGCAGAGATTCATTGCAAAAGGAGATGTAACAACGCAGCAATGCACAAGAGTCAAGCCCGGCGCAGGTCCCTGACACGGAGACGCCAATCGACCAGCAGGCTCAGGCCCAAAGTGGTAGGGCGTGCCAGTTTTTGCATATCCGGGCTTTTGGCACCACAGAAAGAACCGCAGGCACTTCGAAGCCATAGCAGCAGAGCATGGCTCGGCGTAGCAGTTCCACATGTGCCAGGAAGACCCTCGGGCCAGGATCAATGCCCAGCTGGCTGCAGCACTTGATAAGGCAAGTGCTTCAACGTTGCCGTTTACGTGCTCAATTGATCTTGATCAGCTTGACCATGAAGCCTTGGCAGGATGGAGCAGTCAAATTCGCAACAAACTCTTATCAGGCACGCGGCGAGTCTAAGGAGCTCTGGGTTCTGTATAGTCAGTGCTGATCCGCTTGCCAGGTCCCACCAACTGCGGCAACTCCCCCAGACAACGCGGCGTTCCAGGTGTTGCTTGTTAGTGACATCACGCGCACCTAAGGCAGGTGTGATCAAAGCACTGGTGGCCAACTTAGTTGAGATGAGTGAATTTTACTCAGAAATAAGTGCCCTTGTAAGGCGGCAGTCCTTGCAGACTACCCCGATTGCCCGCTCTGCATACAGGGCCACGCAAAGGGCATCGCACTAAGTCTCTTCGTGACTCCGTACCCATGGCTGCATGTACCGTTGCTGTATGCTCCGCGCTGTCAGCAACTGCCAGCAGAAGGCCAGCCAAGAGAGAACAATGAGGCGAAGCAGCGATTGCCGATGCCTCAACGTTGTTCATGCCCATGCACATTCATTTGCACGTGTGGTCTTGCTAAGGTCGTACATGCGGGCAGAGGCACTGAAAGTGGAGTTGAGGAAGGCTACGCGACAGAGGCTAGTGTTTTGCAGGCAGCAGACATGTGGCGATGGTGCTGCAAGGCTGGTGCCACGAATCCCATCCGCTGCATTGGTCGAGGCAGGGCCTGGCAGGGTCTTGCAAGTGGCTCCAGCGGCGTCAAGCATCGCTTCCTCGGCTTGGGACAGGAAGCGAAGCCGGACTTGGTACTTGCTTTCAGGTTGCCAGATGCCAAGAATTCAACAGGGTCACGCCTTGTGAATGACGAACTGTGCAAGAGCTAGGTCGTGGATGAAGGCCAGGCTGGCTTCGAGGCTGTGCAGGCCTGGAAATGCAGCAGTGAAGTGGCTCTCAAGCTTGTGAGAATCTGAATCAGTCTGAATCTGAAGGCGACTCTCCCTGACATGTCGCAGATCCTTGCGGAAGAACCTGAGAGGCAGGGCGGCGAATCGTTCACAAAACTCGCATGCTGCAGCAGTGGTGGGCCCTGGCAGGCTTCTAGATCAGCTACTTGAACCGGTTGTTGATGGTGGCCTTAAGTTCCAGAAAGGGACTTGGCCTTGCACCTGAACTGGAAACAAGTTGCCATGTCCTCGCGCAAAGGCCAAACACGATGGAGCTCCAGCTTGGGTCAGCCATCGCGCTGTCCGAGGCGGCAAGGTTGCTTAAGGCGCGGACGGCATGTCGTGCACACCCATCCAACGGCATTGTGGCTGTCAGGCTTTTCCTGATGTTGCTGCAGCTTCTTTGCATCTGGTGACATGTTTCACTCTGTGTTTGGCTGAGCCCTGCCACACAAGGTGGAATGCGTGGGGCACGCCAAAGGGCGTGCAGAGGAGAACAGCAGCGCCAGAGTGCGGCTATCACAAGCAGGGGGCCGAGCATGTGGCATGACAATAGACATGAGAAGCTGCAGGGATCTTGAACGGGACAGAGAGGATTTTAGAGAATTAGAGAGCGAGCGAGAGAGAGAGAGAGAGAGAGAGAGAGACAGAGAGAGAAAGAGAGAGAAAGAGAGTGAGAGAGGGACTCACGCTGAGAGGGAGAGATTCCTGAAAGGATCGGGCAGAGATTGTTCAACGGGCCTTGGTGGCCGAAGGAGCTATGCACTTACAATGGCTTACGACCACTTGAGACATGATTTGTGACGCAACGCGACTACCGGGCTTCTTCCCGTTGACAACCACACATGAGTTCATATAGCACCACGACTGAAAGGTTCACATGACACCATGAAGCTTAGGTTGCCAACAGCATCACCTGCAAGGGAGTTGGCTCCTCCATGGGGCTGGGAACGAAGGTGGCGCTCCTCGGAAGTCTTTGCATGGTCTGCGCGGTGCAGAGGCTTCGAAGCTGGCCGTCAGTTCTGAGAAACTCTCAGGTCCAGCTGCGCACTGTGCCCAAGCTGAGCGTCATCGAGAAAACATCACAGCATGTACGGTTGCACTCACATCACTTGGTGCCAGTTCCACAAGCTCTACAAAAGTGTAGCGGGCCGTCTTGGCAATCTTTGCATCTTCTGACGCAGCTTGCTCTGGCTCTAGCCCCTCCCGCCTGCATCAGGGCAACATGGCCCCAGGCAATCACTGCACACCACTAGTCGTATTCCGCGAAGTTGCACCGATGGTCCTTTGAGAAGATGAGAGGTGCATCTGAGTTGCGGGAGCAGCTGGCAAGAGCCGAGATGGACAAAAAGGCGCAGAACGGAGAGCAACACATGAAGCAAACGGAAGATTTGCTTCACTGACAAACACTGACATGCAGGAGAAGCTGCAAATCCTTTGCAGCCAGCAGGACTTGTTCTGCAGACCGGAGTCGACATTTATCTCTGCAGGCAGGTTGCTGTGAGAATTGGCGTTGCAGCCTCTGCAGGAGGAGCGAGCGAAGGCCAACAACCAAGCTTGAAATCACGGAATGTGAGGAAGTTAAGTTGCACACATCAAAATGGCTAAGGCGCTGGAAGCCTTGAACAGCCGAAAGGAGGACAAGTGGTTTGCAACGCTCTTTCTGTAAAGCACATGCTTCGCAACACAACGGCTTCTGGCACCTTGCATCTGCACCAGTACACGGTACAACCTCAGGCTGCTTCTGCTGCAGGCTCAATCCCGAAATCATGCGCAATGGCAGCGTCTAAGATATGCCGAAGAGTAGCCGAGTAGCCGCCCCATCGCTGTGCTGCACTCTGGAGTAGTTATGGCAGCAGGCACCACGCTTGAAGTTGAGACGTTGTGCAACAATGCACAAGTCTGCCCTGGTCTGCCATGGATTTGGCGCGACTCTTCACCAAAATTCAGCTCCTTGTCTCAAGCGAACCATTGTAGGAGCCGCGATACGGTTTTGAAATGTACATTACCTTTGCAGGTGCTGGTCATGCCAGTGTGGAGACTCGGAGGATCCGGTCGAACAGAAGGCCGTCATACACAGTGGACACACTGCATGATGCCAGATCCTGGGACTGCAAGGTCCCCGTCACAGCTATGGAGTTCCGCTTCCATCATTTTCCCGATGCCAGAGAACGCAGCAACCTGGCCAGTGATTCGGTGGTGCACGTGTTGCCGGGACATGGTTCAAGCTACGCCGAGACTGTCTCCAGTCCTCCTTCGAAGATTCGAGATCACGCGCAGCCTGATGCTGTTGATTGAGCGTCATGTGCGGGACTCCTGAAAAAACCGAGGATACAGCGAGAGCTCACAGGGCGGGACAAGCGAGCTCGCATCGGAAACCCACCAGAACAAGCTGAGCCCACGAGAGCTCCAGCGGCAGGAGCTTAAGCAGACGCTTGGCCTTGCTGTCCAAACTTGAACCTTGCCTGTTGCGGTGTGGTGTTTTTGCAATGATTGGCTGGCCAGATGTCTAATCTCGCCAGAGGCTTATGAGGAAATTTGCAACTCGTGGTATGGACGGAGTTCCGATCCAACTCTTCGACGAGCGGCTCGATCGCAGAGTCTCATTGGGCAAAGAAGTAGAGTACAGGTGCTTCAAAATCCGGCATGTACAGTTGTGGTAGTGATGCGGTCGCGCGACGTCCTGCGACGTAGGAAGTGTTGCCCTGCGTGGCTGCGGTTTGCATTAGGTTGTCTGGCTCCGTCCGCCCGGGAATGTATCAGATCGATGACCTTTTGGAGTACATTCGCCTTGCGCCGGAGGATCCGTGCATTGTCCGTGAAGGGCCTGCGGCAGCATGTAGTGGAAGTCGAATCAGTGATACAGGAGACAGCTGACAGTGCACCATACGCGGGACCTGAGCACATTGCCTACATTTGTCAGGCACAGCACACGTGGAGTCAGCACTGCCCGTGTCCCTAAGTGGCGCATCTGTGCAAGAGCGGGGAGACTCTTATGAAGACTGTGAAGAGGTCGTTGCGGTTGCTTCTGGTGAAGAGTGCGCCGTTCACGTGGAGTCAGGCGAGGCGGAGTGTCAGAAATCGGGGCGAAATCGATCCGAGATTCTCCAAGGTGCCTGGAACCAGCTGACCAGTGCTGACCAGGCTCGTTTATTGGTGCTGGTGCCTGGACTGCATGGGCTAAGCGGCTTAGATGTACATGTGCGGCCCATTCCGTTGCAAAACGAAGTGCCTGCTGAGGTGTATCACACCCAGCCCCATGGGAGCCTGCCATCAGTGGACTGCCGGAAGGTTTGCTTCTTGGAGACTCGGAACAATCAACAGGTCCACTCCACATCTCCATCACCACGGGACGCAGAAAGGGCCCGCAAGCTTAAAGATCTGAGGAAAGCGATGCAGCCAGCTGCCAAATGTTTGCGATGTGCGTGAGGACTGTGCAGCTGGCTACAATGCACGCCCGTCATTGTGTACATCAATTGAGAGGGAGAAGGAGGGAGGGAGACCGAGAGAGACGGAGAGAGACAGTGGAGTCGGTTTCGCCCACAGAAAGACCCGGTGGAGTATGCCCTTTGGGCGGCCCTCTTCGGATGGTCAGGTGCGCAGGAAGGAAGGAAGAGATAGAAGGGAGCCAGAGCCTTCTGGGCGACCGCACTTGGAGGGTTATGCGTGCAGGGAGGAATGAAGGAAGATCTGAAGGCAGAAGGATGGAAAGCAGTGGTGTTCCCCCCCCCCCCCGATGCCGACTCACTTTGTCGGTCAGAGTATGAACCGTCTGCGGGCGGGTGGTGTACACATCGGCACAAATCCAAAGTCAGTGAGACGTCAAGGCCGACAGCACGACAAGCCTGAGTGAGGGAACCGGGAGACCAAAACAAAACAGAGAAAGCGAGAGAGAGAGAGAGAGAAGAGCGATAAGGCCGGAAGACCAACCAGCCGAGAAAGAAAGTGCAAAGAACAAACAGAAGGAAACATCACAGCTTCGAGTCCGCAGGATCCTACGCCGCTATATGGAGGATGCCAGGCAAAGCCGGACTCCTCGGGCGATCTGAGTACTGCGGAGAAAAAGCTGGCTATTTTGCATGCGATGCTTCTAGTTGGTGACAAGCTGAGACTCAAATTGCTTTCCTTGTGCGCTCGGTTGGGTCCAACATGCCTGGCTGTGATCGCTTACCTTAACCGGCGGCTGATGTATGAGTTGCACACTCGTGGACGCTGTAGGAGCAACTGGTCAAGTTGCTGAGTCCTTAGTCTCAGACAGTGACACCGCACACTGCTTGACAGCTTGTCATATGCATAGGCACAATCGGTTGGAGGAGGCTCTGGCCGTGCTGCAGGCCTCTTTAATGGGCATGTCTCATCCCATTTTGACTTATTCAATGCTGTTGACCTGATGCCCGGTCATCCTTGTAACACCAGGAAGGCCAGAAGATGTACGCCACACAGCAGCACCTCCGGCACGATTGTGCCTGGAGAGTCAATATCCTACACATCCCCTACAAAAATTCCTGCATATATCCTACACATATCCCCTTTCTCTCACCGAGTTCAGTTGTTGCTTGTCGATGGGAGACGTGGGCCAGGAAAGTAATGGACACGCAGCAAGAGAAAATTGAGCGGCTGTGTCAGGAGCTTGGCTACAGGACACTTTTTTTCGTCGCTCGCGACCCTGTGGCAAGAACATTCGTCCGATCCAGGTCGCAGCAAACCTAGTGGCACGCAAAAAGCGGCCCAGCAGGCCGAGTTAGGGCAATTTTGAATGCAGGCGTATGCTGCTACTTGGCAAAGCGGCATGATGTGGCATGTCGCGGTATGCGTGATGAAGGATGGCCCGAGGGAGGAGGCCAAGGCCAAGCAGAGTTTTTGCAAAGTCCGGGGAAGTCTGAAAACGTTTGCAAGCTCGAGTTGTGGCTTGGAAGTCCCGAATACATCTCTCGCGACAGGGCGAAGCACGCCCCCAAGCAGGGGCCAAAGCCTGGGCCAAGGCCCAGGCGGCTCGTGCGGAGAAGGCGGAGGCTGCAAACGAGGACCAGCATCGGGAAGTCATGAACTAGATTGAACTAGTAGTTGCCGTACAGGATATCAGTCAGTCTCTGCCAGTTTCGTCTGCGGAGTCTGCTTGCCGGTATTTCTAGTCAAGTCCGCATGGGAGCTCGGGCTTTGCGCCCACCCCCATCCGCGGGAGTGCTTATTCCTTAGGCCTTACTCGGTTCAGCTGTCTTGCACGTACGTTTTTCTTTATGCCGACCCCAACATGCGTGTGTGTGACATGATGACGGGGAGGCTGAGATTGGGTCAGAATTCTTCTTTACGTTCCGATCTTTTGGCAGGAAAGCGAGGAGGATCCTGCGGAAGATGAGAACGAGTTTCTTGGTGCAGAAGCCCCAGCACAACATACAACAAGGAATTGCTGCTGCAGCCCTGGCCCTTCTGTGCGGACGTGGCGGCAGTATTTGACATGACGCAGAACAGAGGTTAACCTACTGCTTCTGTTGATGCAAGAGTGATGCAAGTGGCATCACGTGGCAGTTGAATGTTGCACCTGCGCTCAGATGGACACTCGGGAAGCAGAGCAGATGATCGCTGCGCTGCAGGTACCGGCCGTGTTGAGTTGCAGTCCGGTCTCTCCCAAACAGTTCTCGCAGCCCTCGATGCCCGATGCGCTTTGTTTGTGTGTGTGTGTGTGTATTGGCCAGGCGCTACTTGCGGAGAAGGAACAAATACACCAACAATTACTGAATGAGCAGGCTCGAGATTTAAACTGGAAGTAACCACGTGGTGGCAAGCAGCGGTGAACTTGTTCGCTGCAGTTGCGATTTGGGCAGGCTGATGCCGAAAAGAGACTGCAAGCACTGCGAGAGATGGGTTCGGCGTAGAACGCACAGCAGGCATCGACTACTACAATCTGTGGCATTGATGACCCAAGTGAGTTAGTTCCTCCGAAGTTACTGATAGGTGCTAGCAGAAAAGGAAATGTTGATGATGATGATGATGTGTGCAGAGTGCAGAGTGGAGCATCAAGCAGTAATGACTATGGTGGTGTGATGGTACGGTTTTGCGTATCCCTCAACCTCGGCAGACTATGGAGTGCAGGTGTATCTCGGGGATGCTTAGGGGCACCTTACCGATGATGCCTAAAAATCTTGCCAAGCCAATGGCATCTACAAAAAGACGGTGGTGATCTCTAGAGACTCTAGACTGAAAGGGCACAGATTGTATACACTTGTATAGTTGCGTCGTCCATCTCGACAAGAAGTTCGGTGAGTGGACGGAGCTGGCCGATTGAAACAAGCTTGGGCTTGATCTCCATTCTCCCAAATTCTGCTGCCAAAGCTTAGAGGCATGTCCACGCATGTCTTGCCCACAAGATGTGAGGACAGCACGGGCTTGTTTCCGCGCACATGTTCCGCATGTTGCGTGGCGCAACGCACGGCCCAACAGAAATGCCGCAGCAGCATACAAGTGTGGGAACGGTAACATCTGGCAGCTCATGAAACCCAGTTCCTCTACCCGACTCTACCCTCCGTCCGACCCAGCCCCTTACTTGCTCAGCCCACAGCTACACAAGCATCTCAGTTGCAGACTTCGGAAGTGAAGCGTTCGGCTGGCCTTTTCCATGGCTGGGCTTGAAGGTTCAGAACATGGCAGCCATGGCAAGGGCGGCGGCCAGGACGAAGACAGTAGCAGCAGTGTTGGCGGTGTTGGCAGTGTGCGTGTGTGTGCGTGTGTCGGCTGCTCGCTGTTCTGGCCTTCATACTTTTTGTGTGAGGAATGAGGGTTTTGTTGGCTTGGGCATGGCTTGGCCTCAGGGAGGCACGGTCCAACATGTGTCAGACCCTACCTCTTGTTAACTATGAACCATACGCTTTCTGTGGTTGCTAGCTGTTTGAATTTCTTGCAAGGCCCGGGCAGCAGGAGACTGGCCTTCGGAGCCGCCCTCCTGGCCAAAGTACCCGGGCCGGCAGGCCTGGAGCTTCTGTGAGTCATAAAGCTTCTTTTGCTGAGTAGCCTGTCACCCTTGTATTCCCTCAGCATTGCATGTGGCTTAATAGGGCAGACCTTTTTGCCACAGGTCAAAGTCCTGAACGGCACCTGGGACTTCAGTTTCCTCGGTGACGTGGTGCTCAATGCCAAGCTGTTGGCAGGGTTCTCGAAGGTTTTGGTGCTGCTTGACAGGAAACAAACAGCTGGGGATCCATGCAATCCGTGCAAGCGGCCTTCAGGTCGAGGCTGCCCCTATGGAGCCAGTGGTCGTCCCCGATGCCTTCGACATGCGCCCAGACAGCCCGCGCTGCAGCACCTGCTGGGCCAAAAAGGCGAGGCTTTCTCAGCCTGGGAATCCACAATTTGGTCCACTAAAGTAGACGACGATTTCGGGTGGTTGCCGAGGACTCTGGTGTTCAAAGGAGTCTGAAGAAATTAAGCCGTCGAATTGTCGGCCACTAGAGGTTGAGGAGGTAAGTGGGGGGATGTTGGGGAAAGGGTGTCCGAAGCCGCGTGTGTGGGGCCAAACCATGTCATTCGGTACATCGACAGCGCAATGACCAGGAGAGCAGGAGCGGGGCGGAGAAAAGTTCCAGTCCCACAGGAGAAGGAGGAAAGATAGCTAGGATTATTCCCACGCGTTCACGTGAGCAAAGGCATGAGGATGGGATTGGGATTGAGAAAGACAGAAAGGGATGCAATATGAAGCAAACGAGCAGGGCCCCTGGGCCGCTTCACACGCAGACACACAAATCGACATGCGCAGCACATCTTCTATAGCCCACGCAGGAGAAACCAGGCTCAGCACAACTTCCACAACCAGCTTCCAAGCTTGTCAGCGTCAACCGCCAGAAGTTTGAAGTTCTGCTTTTGACTGCCGAAGATGCTGTCTGGTCTTCTCTGGTAAGCATGTGATTCAACAGCTGGTCCGGTGAGGGCACGGACGAGGACGATGAAGAGCTTTGTGGCCACTGCTGCAGCCGTGCCTATGGGTGGCAAGGAAACCAGCAATGCTGGCAGATGCTGCCGGAGGCCAGTGATGTTGTTGGATCTTGTTGCGTGCTGCGTTTGTCCCGGTAACCATGACTCTGACGTTAAAAATTGGACTAAATCCAGGCAGATCGTGAGGTGGCCTTCGAGCACTGTTGCAATCAGCACGGGCTTCGGCATCGACGGGGCGTGGCCAGGTATGAAGCACAAGTGCAGGCACTCCGGTCGGTGGTCGTGCAGTGGTCGAGATGAACGAATTCTGTATGAACAATCACCGACCCGGAGAGCTAATTCAGTTCATTCCCCGGACAGCCCAAGAGATATTGGCACAACGCTCTTTGTCGCGAGCCGTTCTCTAGCTAGCAGCCTTGCTTGTCGGGCGTGCGGCATGTCCTGAGTATCTCGTCTTGCCAACGAAGCAATAATGAAGCAGAAATGGTGGGCAGTGCTCTATCACGCGAATATCGGGCAGAAACAGTGTCGGCAGGAGAAGAAGAAGAAGCCGAAAATGCCACAGCTCACAACTTGTCTCTTGAACTTCTGCCCCATAGTCCAGCTTCCTAGTTCACAAATTGGAGAAGATGCGCAAAATGCTGATGTGTGGGAAACTTGCGGAGGCTTTTCAAAAGAAAGTTTCCCGGTCAACTTGGCGGCTAGTGTTCTGTGTGGTCCAAATGTGCGGCTAATCAGATCAGCGCTTCCATGCACTTACAATCTCTTCCCACGATCTTAATGGCTTCTAGAGCATTCGTGCGCAGACCGCCGTCAACACTTCGGGGGCATTGCTCTTCGGAGCTTGAAGCTTTTCTGCATTGCTTACGGCGGGCTGCTCCATGTGTTCTTTTGGGTGTTCTTCTTTGGGTCTGCAGATTACCAGGTGCTTTGCGCTGCCTCGTGGCTGTGGATGGAGTGGTGGTGGCTGACCACAGTGGTTTGTCACCCTTCAGCGTGCCGGTGGCCAGCGCGGACCGAGAGTATGGAGCCCAAGGTGCAAACGGTGCAGAGTGCAGAGAGTGCAGAGAGTCCAGAGCAGATGTCTGCATGTTGTAGTGCTCTGGCGCTCTTACCCAAGGCTCCGCTCTATCACTGTCCTTGTGGACAATCGTTTTGACCACATCTCTCATCCTGTGCACCAATTGAAATACGACTGGTACCAGGGAGGAGGCTTGCTACGAGCTGTGCAGTTTCACAGCCTGGCTAGCCAGCACCTTGCGTACCTGGCCGGGGTCGAAGTCTTCCCTCGGCTACTCGCCTCAAGACATGCACAAGGAACGTTCAATCCAAGAAGCAGCGCATCCAACAAGCTCACGAAGCACCAATTGAAGCAAAACCTATGGTAGCACCAGTAGACTCCGACCCTACGGTATGTGAACCTGGTCGGAGACGGTGCTCACTCTCCGAGATGTCGTCAGTCATTTCTGCAAGACTACATGGGGCATGCTACAGCTCCTGCACGACATGCGCTGGCATTTGGCTGACATCTCAGGACACTGGAGCACGTGGACGTGGACGTGCGAACCTTCACTGCTGATCCGGCACCCCAGAGCCGGGGCCATGTTATCCACTCTCCCCAAAGCTGCGTTTGGAAACGTATTTCACTTCGGCGACCGTTGGCATGCATTAGCACTTTGCTCTCGGCTGCTTGAGATCTTCCGGAAGCGTGCAAGGCTTGGAGTACCGGTGGAAGTTTGATGACCCTCAAGAAGGCTTGGTTGCCTGGCCTCGTGCCGTCGGGAGTTCGCAGACATGCAGATTGAAGTTGCTGCACGTCCTGCCAGGTTGTGATTGGGGAGGCTGGTCACCCATCATTGTGGGGTCTGGAACCCACAACGTCTCTGTTCCCAACGCACGTAGCTGGTCACCTGAGAAGCCAGACCTGCATCGCTTGAAGGCACAGATCTTTGCCTTGACATGAGTTTGGCTTGGCAGACATGGTTCACAGCACCGTCTGAAATCTGCAGGTTGCACTGCTCTCTTCCTTGGCTGGGGATACCAGAAAGCTGCTGGACTGCGTTGAGGTCCGCTTTGGCCTCCGCCATGTCAGCACATCTGGCAGAGATATTCTCTTGAATGGGCAGCCTCTCAAGAGTTTTGGCAGCAAAATACGCATGTCAGTGGTGTTTGGCTCTGAAACGTTCTGAGACAGTTTGGCAGGCAGCTGCGTACCAAGGTTGTTTGGCTTCAATCGCCACGATTTGACGGCAAGCCCGGTCCTCTCACACGAAGAGCTGGCACGTGATGTGCGAATCTTGCGGGAAGTCGGGGCAAACTTCGTCAGAGGAGCACCCTGGCCAACGGGATCCTAAAGTACATCGTGGCATGCGTTTATTCGTCCCGTCCGAAGGGCCGTCGAAAATCCCGCAAGCTTTGGTGATCTAGGATGTGAGGGCTTTGTGTGTGCGGGTGGGGGGGTGTTTTGCAACCGCCTGCAAGGCTCACTATGCCCAAGACCAGCGATTCTTGGACCTCTGTGACGAGAACGGCCTGTTGGTTTGGGAAGAAGTCCTGGGATGGCAAAACACCCCGAAGGACGGCTGCGTGATGATGCCTGTGTGGTGTGGGCTGTGCACTTTATTCACACTGTTTCTGCTACTGCTGGCCGCAGACCACTCACAATGCCTCGACTTCAGGATTTTGCTGATGGTATTTTCATGATGCAGAGCTTAAAGCTGGCAGATGAGATGGCAGCCGCATCTGTGAACCATCCGCTTCCTGAACGCAAGTTCTACTGAACTGATGGCTGCCTGGTGCTGCTGATGTCGCAGCTTTCTCTCAGGTCGGTGATCTTCTTTGGCTTCTTCAACGAAGGTGGGGAAGCCCTGCTGGGCCCTGGCATGTTGCGTCCCCACTCACATGTCCTGCAGGCAGATCGGATGACCCCAGTCCTGCCACGGAAGCCGCCTATCGCGGTGCCTAGCTTCACAGTGTACTTGCACTTGAATGGAGAGTCGCCGCCAAAACTCTTTGCTCGATGCTTCAAGACATGGTGAGGAATGGCCAGCCGGCTTCGTGAGCGATCACGCGGCACCCGGCTGATCAGCTGGGGATCTTCAACCACCATAGGGGACAGGCCAGTGCTGTAATTTTCTCGGGAAAATTAGCTGGCAGATATGCAAGTGCATAACATTCCCGCATGAAGAGAGCTTCTTCACTTGAGGACATGGGCTTAAATCTTATGCTAAAACATGCTGGCTCCGGACCTTTTCTGGTCGTGTTTTGCTAGTGAACCAAACCCGTGGACCCCGCAGCAAAGACTTACCAAAGACACCAAGAGTGCGGCCGAAGGTCGATGTGTAGCAAACGGATTTAGTTTGCCGAATTTCAACAACTTGGAGGGGAGAACAGGCCCCCAACGGCACCAGCGTGACACGTCGTCATGTCAACGCACGGATCAAAATGTGTGTAAGCTGGCCGTAGGTACCTGCGATTTGCCGATGTCTGCTCATTTCACCACTATCCGGCCTGGTACCCCACAACGGCTCCGGGCGATCTGGAGGAGGTGAAAGGGATACCGCTGATATGGGAGGCGTGGTGTGTAGGACTGACGCATTGGCACTTGGGGCGATCATCCCGGAATCCAAAGGCAAACAAAGTGAGCCGCGCTGGGCTGTTCCTTTTGAGGCCTATGCAAACTTTGTGGAGGAGAACTTCCCCAGCAAGCCACTTCTAATCACAGAGGCCTAAGCAGAACATGGCATGCAGCTTCCCGCTTTCGCCTGGGCAGATAGGCTTGAGTATGGCCATGTGTCAACTTTCACACGCAGGCTGGAGCAGGGGGCCTCTTCGGCCATCATGGACCAACCGAGGAGAAGTGGACGGAAGAATTTCAGAGCTCCTCGACAGATTGGAGTAAGACATCCCCATCAGCATTCTTAGTGGCTTATGGTTGTGCCTGACCTCTCCACCCATGAAGCCTCCTCCTGCCTGGTATGACAAGTACTCTTGGTGCCAGCATGTTCGTCGGATTCAGATTCTGGATGGAAAGCGGGACCCAATCGTAGCTGACTATGGGCCTAGACTTGGCACTTTCCGCCCTCCCGCCCCCCCCCCCCCGTCCCCCTCCACGCCCTCCCCTTCCCTTCCCCCTCCATCCAAAGCCCCATGGTGCAGGGAATTTGTTAGGGCCTCAGTCAAGCCAGCTTGACAGGTCTTCTGATGCAGATGCACTATGTCTCCGTCTTCACAAACCCGAAGATTGCCGGCTTAGCTCTATGGCAATTCGCGGACATTCCCATCGACCGCCTGGTATCTGATGATGAGCAACGGCCCAGGGGACTAAACAACAAAGGCCAGGGAGGCTCCTAACTTATACGCTGCACAGCTGCACAATACATCGCACCGGCTGGCGCAGGTGTCGTGAGCCTGAGCAGGCTTCCTAAACTTTCATTTCAAGCGCTGCGTCTACTGCGCCTCCTGACGGCAAGCTTTGTGATTTTTCTTGCCGGAGGTAATCAAGACGTCAATGTGACATGCGCCCCGAGGCAACAGCAAGCCGGGGCAGTACTTTGGCCTGATCTTGCCACCGCAGGTTGGGTGCCAGCTGTCTTGGTAACTACGAGCAGTGCAAAAAAAAACATTCATTTGGCAACATCAAGTGCTTCTTGAAGTCCAGCTGGAGGCTCCCCATAGAGGGCGCCTTGTAGCAATCTTGTTGGGCTGAGCCTTGCAAGGACGCCGACCGTTTGACCGGCCTCTTCAAAGTGTGAGTTAGTTTATCACACCTTGGGCGTTGCCGCAAAAATGACCATGTGAATCATGTGAATTTGCATTTTCTCAAGCCACAGGGCGTTTTCAGTTCATGGCATGTGGACCTTTGTGATTGCCCAGGCTCTCAGCAACGCCACTTTGTCGGCTCTAGCTTACACATTCACCGACCATGACAAGCAGCAAGCATAAATGAGAGGCCAGATTGCTGCAAAAGTGCTTTTTCTGACCGGCATTATGTTGAACGTTTAGGACTACAAGGTGAGACTGGAAAGGGCAGCCCATCTTCGGTACCGGTAGTCATCTGGGCACCAATTCGCCAGGCTTGGACCTCAGCGTCAATGCCTGGAAGTTTGCAATTAATCTTCAGATCCGATCTGATCCGATTCTGCGCCTAAGAACATGAAGCAGTTGGAGAAATGCGAGTCGTTCTTCTCGAGCAAGATGGCGTCGTGTCCCGTCAAGTTGCCACTGAGTCCAGATAGCAGAAGTGACATCAGCAGTTCGTGGCTTTGACGACTTGATACATTCAGAAGAAAAGTAACATTGTGTTGCATAGGCTAGAAGCTTTGCTGCGGGGACTTAGCATGTGCGGCGAGCTAGCCTCGGCCAGGTTCCTCAGCGAGCCAGGCCAAAAGTGCCTGGTCGAGGACGAGGCTGAGACTGAAACGGGGAGTATGGACCCAGTATGGAACTTCAATGGACATGAATACGAGTACTGCAGCCTTGTTGTTTCCTTGCCGGTCGTGGAACCAGAGCCAGACATGTTTTGGAAGCCGGCCGCGACAGATGTCACTGAAGCAGCAATGTCCTGGACATGTGCCCAACTATTATTAGTTCACGAAAGTCCGCCCCCCCGTGGAGGAGAATTTGGACCCCCGTTCTGCTGAGAGGAAGCTGGCGATGGAAAGCATCTTCCTTACTTTGCGGACAGTAGTGGTTCCGAGTTCAAGCACATGGCATGTAATTGTAAACGCTTGCGCGCGCCGCCTCGGCAGCCGGGCCGGCCCCAGGACAGGAAAGGAAAGAGGGTTTCGCAAAAAAGGAGGAAGGGCAGAGGGGGGTGGGGGGGGGGTGAGGGGGGGGGTCAGGGGGGGGGTTGGGTGGGGGGGCGGGGGTGCGGGTTGGGTGGGGGGGCGGGGGTTTTTTGAGGCACCCCCCCTGTAGGAGCCACCCACAAGCGGAACCCTCCACAGCATCGGTTTGCAGCTCCTCCAAGGGATTGGGGGGGGTCCCAGAAAATTTGGCATTGGGTGGGGGGGAAGGAGGCCCGATCCGGGTCTGCTTGTTCCAGACGCTTCTCGGCAGGAAGCCGAGGCGAATTTGTACTTCGGTTCTCACCCCATCGGAAGCGTTTTGCGTTCCAGTTGATAATGTCTAAGTTGGACACTGTTTTGTAGGGGCTCTCTCTTTTCTGAAACTGAAGCCAATAAAGAGTCCGCTGTCCCTGTGGTGAGGTCAAGCGTTTTGGCAGGAGCACGACCAAACAGGTCGCTCAGGCGCGCGGTTCTGGCGGTTTGTCGCGCCACCGGGCATTCGTGTTGCCTTGCGCAAGCTGCCTGAACAGGCCATTCCACAAATAATGGCGAAGGTTGGCCGCACTGATTGCACCAAAAGAGCAGCACTGGCAGGGTGTGGGCATTTTCAGCCAGGTCGCTCGAACTGGACATTTGCTCCAGGGCTCCAGTCTTAGGCTTTTTTCGGCCACTCGACCATGTGTTTCATGGGCATGTGCGAAGGCTCCTGCTCACCGGCTCTGCTCAAGTGCCACCAGGAGGCCAGAAAGTAATGAGCCAGCAAGGGATCTCAAAGCTGGCTAGCCCCTCTGGCCGATGCAGCTTCGTTGCTGCTTATTTCTAATGTGTAATCTTAAGAAATTGGGCATGGAGCACCCGGTCATTCTGCCAAACGCTCGCCTAAACTCTTGCATACTGGACGAGCCAAATCTTGGAAGGCCTGGCCGGCACCTTCAGCGCGCCTGTGGGCACAGGATAAAGTCTGACTGCAGCTGGCTGTACGTGTGACGGTTCCCTGCAGAAAACTAGGCCACCTGTTGCAGGCATCTGCTCAGAGACTTGAAGATGTAAATCACAATCCGGATGTCGAATGCAGACTCCCATATGTGCAGATAGATTGCAGGAGCACTGGCCGGCAGCATGCAGGCACCCGTAACAGGTCCGCGGATGGCATTGCAATGATCTCACTTGATCTTGACACGTCACTGTTGCTGCTTTTTCTCAGCATTCAGGAGGCGCTCTGCACGGCAGCCTTCGGATTCCCTTAAGCTTGACTCTCAGAGATTCTTAAAGAGATTCTTCAAGCTTTCCACCTGTCCTCGTCGCTCACAGATGCCGTCTTTCCCAGAGGCTCTCAACACGTCATGCTGACCAGCCCATCACTTGCAGGTTCGTCCCGGGTTGTTTGAGTGTTCGCGGTTGGTCACAGAACGGCTGACAATCGCACGCAGTTGAAGTGTTGAAGTGTTGATGTTGACTTTCTGCGCCCAGTCCGAGAGGCCGAGAGATAAATAAACCAGATGCTGCTGCAGCAGAGGACAGGTTTGAGCCTGGAGCCTCCACTGGCACAGCGCCTCTATTGAAGAAGTGCGCAGGAGGATCTGCGACAACGCATTCAGAGTTCCGCGGCTTGTCTGCACAGCTCAAGATCAGCTTGCGATGCATTCGGAAAACGGTTCTACAAATGCAGCTGGACATAGCTGGACAGTGCAAGGTGAGAAGAATTGTCACCAGCGCGCAGGCCGGAAGCTGTATTTCACAAGCTATGGTATGTTATGGCTTATGGCGTCAGCTTCTCCACTGACCCTACTTGACATCAGAACTGAAGCCGAGCCGAGAGAGCTGTCACGGTTGCCGACTGATAAGGCTAGTAAAGATTAAGCTGGCACTTCTTGAAGCCTCGCAAAGAGCCCTTGCACGAAGCGATTTTGCATCCAGACAAATCATTCTTTCTCAAGGACGACAAGAGAATCGGGAGTCATTCGCCTCCCGTAGTTGCAGCCCCATCTGCCAAGTCTGCACAGGTCAATGCTGCAATCCAGCCCGAGCTCGGGCCTCGTCAACTGCATGGCACAATTCCTCCTTACTTTTCTGTAAACATGACATGGCCATACATGCCCATTGCTTCCATATCCTGAAAGCCTGACCTACCTTGCTGCGCAATCCTTGGGCTGCAGAGAAAGAGGATCCAAGATGTTGAAGCAGCATAATGTGAGCGATAACAACGCTGCTCAGCTGACATGCTTTGGCAAAACACGGACCCTACATCCCACTGCAGATGAAATTCCTTTGGTTCTAGCGACTACAGTGCATCAGGCTATCTCTCAGAGGCTGCATCATCTGCCGTGCCCGGCTTGTCAGGAATGCCACGCTTTGACCCATCTCGGTCTAGATCAGGGCAGCGGCTGCGTCGCCGCTCAGACTCCCGCCGCCGGTCCCCTTCACGGCGGCGGGATTCAAGGAGGCGCTCACCACCTAGACGCCGCAGTCCCTCCAGGCGCCGCAGTCCACCGCCGCGGTCACCACCCAGACGGCGCTCACCATCCCCAAAGAAGGAGAACGGTAGAAAAGCAGCTTCACCAGTACCCCGGCGTATTTGTGAAGTGTGCCACAGTGCTCAAGCTGAATCTCTCAGCACCAGCCAAGTGCTCTGAGGATGGAAA